TCATGGCCATACATGACGACGAAGAGTCTCAGCCTGAGCAAACCTCTGCTTCACCTGTGGTTGTCTGAGCTTGCGTTTGATATGCCGACAGAACGGTACTACACACTCCCTTTCTAAACAGCACTTTGCGTGATAACAACAAGGATGAATAAGCCCTTGACAAATTCGGCATCCACTGCCCGTTTTTCCCCTGCAAGTTTTAGTGTGTTCCACAACACGCTTCATCTTGGCACAACTTGCACGTTGACATGTGGGCTCTCTGCAGTGAGTGGCATGTTCTAAGGACGTTATGCAGCGTTGGATCTCCTGTCCACTAAGCTGTGGCTGTTCTATTACACCACCTTGCTCTTGTTGTTGATCTACATCCACGTCCAATTCAAACTTTCCCATCTTACGTTTATGACCTTTCTCGTTGTAGCAAGGCACACAGAGATCACAATCCTGGGAAAAAACAAACAAACCAACAAAATCACTTGCGTCATTCTCAATACCTACCAGTGGAAAGAATAAGGCAAATGGTTAGAGGGTTAGAATTGTGTACAACTTGTGAAGTCCCTTCCTAGTCTCCTCTATTAAATCTTTGGTCCAGAAAACCTCATCACTAACGACAGACTACTAGCTCTTGACAGATTTTGCAAAAAAGATGAAAACCTCTTTCGTTTCTTTCCCTGACAATGTTTGGCCTTGGCATTCTCTTTGAAAGCACTCCTCCACTTGCAAAGTTTTCAAAATGGTCGCCCAAGGAAGTCAAAAGACTTGAGACTTCAAATGCAACACCCTCAATGCATTGTAGACCAAAAAATAAATTCGCGATACAGTGAAAAATAATTCTCCGCCCAATTAAAAAATAATTCTTGATACACATTGGAAAAATAACTCGAAGTACCACTGAAAAATAATTCATGGCATGAATGAAAAAAGTATTCGTATAATTAAAACAAAAATAACTCTTGTTGCTAAAAATAATTACTAACACACTGAAAAAAGTATTGTTTAGTGATGGCAAAAATACACAACATGTCCATAATATTTGCTGCATTTGGATTAAAATTGACTTGTGATGCAATTTTATTGTCATGATTTTGACCAGAACGGGCCTTCATAGTCTTCGTTTTCGAAATTACGAAAACTAAGACCCCTAAATTTACCGATAAATTTGACCAAAACTCGGTGGAAGGAATCTGACAGAAGATAATTTGACAGATTAGACCTATTTTGGTTACAATTTGACTTCATATTCCGACGGATTCGATTTTAGGGGCTCTTAGTTTTCGTAATCTCGAAAAATAAGACGGGTCTTACGTCTTAGGTCTTAGTTTTCGTAACACCCTTTGCGGTTCGACGTTCAGACATAATTCGATTTAGATTGGCGGTCGATTAAAGAAGTGGATTCTGGTTTATTTTTCCATTTAGAAATAGAAGAAATATCAATCAATGAAAAGAAAAGAGATTTACGGTAACTCTGGGTTATCTAGCAGCAAAGAGCAGTAAATTCTTACATTATGCACCTATCAATGTTAAGCTGCAGGGGGGGGAGGCCGGGCATAGGCGGGGGATTTGAACTCAGATCATTTTTTCTGTTCAAATGCCCGACCCCAGGGACGTTATCGCTGGTCAAAAGAGTGCAAATTCCCCATCCCCCTCCCCCTCCAGAAAAAGGTCAAGGCATTGGTCAAACAAGAATTAAAATAGGGATATACAGGAATTATAAAGTTGTAAAAAGCAAGAAGCAACAACTTCAAAATGTAACGTCCTTTTAATAGAAAAATGTCATGTAATTTATCTGGAAAGTATATAAAAATTTGAAGACTGTCTCAACTGATACTATTGAACAATACAGCAAAACAAGGAAATTCTGGTATCTTTAATATCATGAAATGTTATGCTACAGATAACTTTTATTTGAATTCACATCCGTTTATAACTCATGGCCATTATTCATATTTACATCACCAAGTAAGACTAGTTTATTTCAACTTCAGTCCGTAACACTTTTCTGATTTTTAATAGTACCAACAGATCGTTGTGTTCTTTATCGTAATCATCCACAAATTAATTTAAAAATTTAGAAACATCCCAAAAGGTTGTTACTACGCTTAGTAGGTCATAGATTGCCCAGCAGCGAGATGAGAGTTTTCTTACTTTCGCGCGAATGCTATCGTAACTTGACCAAATTTTCGTTAAGCTTACTCAATAACAGATAGAAATGTATTCAACCGACAAATTTTACTTACTTTGGTTGGGAACAGAGGGACTGGAACGTCTCGACATTATTGCTGCGTTATCCCTTTCGACTGAACAAAATTATAGTAGGCTACGATTTGTGTCGAAGCAAAATATGAAAATTCTTCGAAACATTGCATTTTGATTGGCTGCTGATCTGCGCGGCACGTGCAGCACGTAAATTATATAACGTAACCAGTCATTCACGTGCACCTGACTCGTGCCTTTACCTTACATAAGAAACCACTTGAACTTGTGCCATGGCATGTGCGAACTCTAACAGCTGAAAGTTCGATGACTGATGCCATGTTTACACGACATTGGACGAATGTTCGACCGGTGGAAACTTCGTGCTTCCGGAACCAGCTTAACCGGACGAAAATTTTAGCCTTCGTAGCTGTTGCGTAGCTGGCGAAACGCTGGCGGGATAGCTGGCAACCAACCTCGTCCCCAGGGCTTTCCCTTTTCCCTTTTCCCATTTTTTTTTTTCAGGGAAAAGCTCTGGGGACGAGGTTGGCTGGCAGGATGGGATATACGGTAAAATTCCGAAAATAAGCCAGGGGCTTATAGTTTTCAAAGGCCCTTTTGAGGGGCTTATGTACGGAGGGAAATTTACGTTTCAAAATCGATTGGGCTAGCCTTATTTTTGGAAAGAAATTTACTGTTTTTCCTTGTCTTACTTTGTACTACAGGACAATTTCCAAGTACAAGCCCCCGGGCCGCGGGCTGGGGGGGGGGGGGGCTTATATTTGGAGGGGCGATTTAACGAGAGGTTTTTTGCGTTACGAGTCTGGGGGGCTTATATTTGGAGGGGCTTATTTTCGGAATTTTACGGTATGCTACGGGGGGGTTACTTTATTGGCGGAACGGTCCCGACTGAGCCAAGTGCCGGCGGTAAGATTTTCCAACCGGTCGAAAATACGTCCAGTGCCGTGTGAACTGGCCTGAGTTTTAAAATAACCTTATTAAGGCTGGTTTTAGCCTGCGAAAACATCCGTTTCTTCTCGTTCTTCGCCGGTTTTCACTAGCGACGGAGTCGGAGTCGGAGTCGTAAGAGCGGCTTATGACCTAGTGAAAATCAAAAATCGGAGTCGTAAGCGGCGTCATAAGCGGAACGGAATCGGAATCAGAAGAATCAGAACGTTTCCATTTCTTTCGATTCCGCTTACGACTTTCCCATCCTTGATTTGGGGGGGGGGGGGTCTAGGGTTTCCATTCAGTATTTTGTCCAAGATTGTAGACGAGGCGGGCAGAGAGGAAAGGTCACAGCAGTCATGATAACAGATGATATTGTAAAGTAAACTAAATAAACTATGAGGATAAATAAGAATTACAGAAAAACAAGCTAAAGTTACAAAATATACAGTCTTACAGAATGATATTACAAGACGAATTTATCCCAGAACCTATCAATTTAATTATTAGAGCATTGCATCAAGGCTGCAGAATTTGCCATTTTTTGTAGGAGAATCAGGCACTTCAACATAATCGTCCTCTGCTTATATATCGAGAGCAAAAAGTCATGAAAATTTTTTTTAAAAGCTCGTTTGGAGAGTTGACGAAATTCGTTAGGAATTGCGTTCCAAAGTTTAGATCCAAACCTGGAAAAAGAATCTTGATTTAGATTCAGTCTTGAAGTTTGGACATTATAATTTCTGCACGAAAAAAACCTGGTTTCATGCTTGTGCTTTGAATTATCTTTAGCGAAGAAATCACAGATCTTAGATGGAGCATTCATGCATGAGGAGAAGTCAAACATTATAGAAGATACTTTTTCAGCATATAACATTTGTAAGAGTAGAATTTTTGCGGAAATAAATAAAGGCACAGCATGGGCTCTGTGTTCGGAAAAATACATCAAACGAGGGACTCTTTTTTGAAGCAGGAGAATTTTTTGTAAATATATATATGTGGGTTTTGGCAGTTTGACCCCAAGCCGCCAAACCATATATCAAATAAGGCAATATCAATGATTGATAAATATTTAAAAGTGTTGTTCGTGGGACGAAGTGCCTAAGACAGGCAACAAAACCAACAGTTCTGCTTATTTTTAATGCAGCATTGTTAATATCAAATTTCCAGCTTAAATTGCTGTCCAGTAGGACGCCAAGATATTTAACGTGGTGTTAACACTGAAGCGTGGTAGGAATTTGAGTACAGTTATCAATCATTTCAATATTAACCGAGTAGTTCAACTGACGTATGATATGGACGAAAGATAACATAGTTTGACTTTTTAGCATTGAGCGTGAACTTATTTGCATTGAGCCAGTCGGAGACTTTAAGCAGTTCGTTATTGACGGTTTTTTTAAAGAGATTTCAAATTAGTGTCATCATACAGCAAGTTCGTGTCACCAGCAAAGAGACAGAATGACAATTTCGCTGAAGAGTTTTGAATATCGTTAGTATAGATTAAGAATCGAATAACAGAGGACCAAACAAAAAACCAAAGACAAAACCAAGGCCGAAAACAAGACCTTGGTCACCTGCTACAATCTGAAGTCGCCGTAAATTTATTGCTAAATATCGATTCTAAATTTCAGAGCAAAAACATTTAAGACAGTGAATTTTTATATTGCGAAAATGAAAATCCCACGGCCCCGTAAAGGTCTTAGGGATGCGAAAAAAGTCCTTAAGTACTTAGGCCCGGTTCAGACGCCGAACTTTTCGTCAGCCGAACCCGATTAAATTTTAATTCAATTAAAAAAAATACACGAAAAGTTCGGCGTCTGAATCAATTTGGAACGCCTATTTCAATTTGTAATAGGCTCAGCCGTTCTTCCCGCCTAGTCCGACCGGGAATTTGGAATGTGAAACGACTTTGGAACGGCTTTGATTCAGACTCCGAACTTTCCATATTCCTACATGCATAAATTATAATAACGTATTTTGCAAGCAGTTTGACCAAAATGAACATTTTTCTCCTGTTGCATTTAGTTTGGCTGGAATTAAGATCGGCGTCTGAATCAATTCAGGCGGTCTGGGTCGGCCTTAATTCGAATTAGGATCGGCTCATGAAAAGTTTGGCGTCTGAACGGGGCCTTACCTTAGGGCCCATGTAACCTGTGATCAGGCGTTCTTTTTTCAGGGAAAGCGAGAAAGTCGGCGGCCACGTGCGCGTTTTCCTGAAATCTACCCACGTCAGTGGCCCATCAGTTCCAACCCATATCCTGATAAAAACTGACGAAAGCCCCCACTGCATTTGAAATGCTGCTTTTACTACTGAGAAACTGAGGATAGCATTTCTTAAGGTGCGACAACTGTTGGAGTCTCCGGTATTTCCTATTTCGGATTGGTTCAAATTCCTTAGCTCATAGCCAGCTGTCCAGGCCCCCACGCAGCGTTTTTCAAGTGCGGGGGCCGCTAGGAGTGGAAGCGGGGAGGTGGTCCGAGGATTTCTTTGCGCCGGTTCAAATAATTTCTTCTAGTAAAAAACGAATGGATATTATCGCCGAAAATTAAAGCTGATCGAAGTGTGGTTACTTATTTTCGAGACTCAGCTTGAAATTCCGGTCGCTATTTTCGGGCTTCCCAGCATATACATGCCGATTGAATTCAAGTGCCTCTTAGTTAGTTTGAATTTCAGACAATTAAGACTCAGGGAGTAAAAACGACTCGAATTAATCCTCTGAAATTCAGGCTACATTTTTAACAGTCTGCTTCACAGCTGTTCTTGGTGTCGTCACACAACCCTCCTCCCCACAAACTGTGGTCCTCCGGGGTTCCACCCGTCCGCGGGCCCTGCTAACCCTGATTTGATAACCCAAACCAAACAAACTATTAGCCTATCACTGCTCAGGTTTTCGTTCACGTGACTAGCTAATTTGGCTCCAAGAGTCCTTGAGTGATGGCGAGGTGATTTCGGTAATGAAAATGATCGACTGCCACACGTTCTTAGTGCTTCGGGGAGCATTGCGTGATAAGCCAAAAGAACGTTTGCGAGGGAGGCTAACAAAACTGACTTAAATACAGTCGACTCCCGAAAACTCGAATCTTCAAGGGAAATCGAAAAAAGTTCGAATTATCCGGAGCTCGAAGAAAATAGCCGGAGGTAAGGTAAAAAACAGTTTTTACTGCACAGTGAACATTTTAATCACATCTTATTGTAGAAATGTTCTGTGGATATTGAAAGATCTTTAGATTATAAATCAGAATGTAACGTAACAAAACATTGCCTAAATAGAGCATGCGTTTTACTGTTTGGAGAAGTAAAGCTGTTTCACGTTAGATTTGTGACAAACAACATCAGCTTCCACTAGCGTCAATGGGACTTCAAAATCAAATGTTTCAGATGCCAGTACACTGTTTTTTCCCTACATTTTTTAGCTCTCAAAACATGGTTGGAGTTATCGACGGTAAAACTATATAAAAATGATCTGAGGGGAAACAAAAATTAATTCGAGTTAGAGGGAGGTTCGAGTTATCGGGAGTCAACTGTAATTCACTAGGACCTGGCACCTGTGTTAGTTATATTGACTCCCTCTACGCATTGAATATTGTCCCGAAATAAAGGTGAATCAGCAGTACATGGCATGGGATCTGGAGGGTAAATACAGCCTTGAAAAATTTAAATAACCAGAATCGTCGACCAATTCCCGTGAGATAAAGCTTTAAATATGTACATTTTATTTTGAACGACTAATCAAAATCAAAATGGATAACAATAACTGTACAACGTAGATGGAAGCGATAAAATATAGTGGTCACATGCCTAATATCATTTCTTTAAACTATTTACATTATCAATAGAATATTAACGTAAGCAGGGTCCCCCTCTATGTCGGAGATCTGAACTTATCCATTCAATAATAAGAACATACTACCTCGAACTGTCTGAGAATTACATCTAAAAAATTAGACATTTAAGGATAAAACGCAGAGGAAAAGCACCGGCCATTAAAAGGAAGCCACAAGTGCTACCAACTCTTTGGCGTCGAATGAGGGACTTGACGCCTCGTTAGAACATGTCAAGAAATATCGGATCAGTTTAAATTTCTGGGAACCTGTCCACCTACCCCTCCCCTAAGTGAACCTTAACACTTACTTCTCACTTAGGGCAAAATGTTGGGTTAGGGGAGGGGTAGGGTCCGAAAAATCATTGCTGCATTTAAAGAGGCTGTGTCACATTCGTTATGAGGCTGTGATTTGGAAGATTTTTTCTTTACCAACTTGACAAGAGCCTTTAATAAAAGCCTTTTTGCTAAATATACATTTTCATTGTGTTCTCAGGCTCTTTAAGGGTTTTGCAAGAATTGCCTTTGCACTGTTTTACTTGACACAATATTTCAATTAGTTTTCTGGGAATCTGCCCACCTACCCCTCCCCTAAGCCAACCTTTAGCATCCTAAATTGATCCAAAAAGATCCCATATTGATATTTTTATGTCAATGACTGGCAACACCCTCTTTGGTTTATTGCTGCTGTACCAGCTTCTCAAAAGTAAGACGGTCCGTTCTAGAAGATGCAAGCAGTTTGTAGCCTCTTTACCGCATACTTTTTCATAGTGCAACACCTTCAAGGAACCTCACGTATTACGCGTTTTGAAAATCCAAAGAAACGATATCACGGTGTTACTCAGACTTGTTTTGAGATACTTGACAGGAACGTTCTTCTGAAAGATTACGACATGACCACTCCATTTCCTGTACAAAAAATAAAAAATAAAAAGAACAGTCGTATTCTCCTGTTTGTGTTCATTTATTAACCCTTTAAGCCCCAATATCAACATAAAAATTCTCCACACCGATCTCTACACATTTCCTTGAAAAACTAGTTGAGAGAATTTGTGTTAAGATCAAAGCATTTTCACTGAAGTGATTTTACTAATTCTTATAACCCAGTCTCTTGATCATGTATTGGTGTTGTTAGGAGAAAATTGATGTTGGTCATTATTGGGTTTTATTTGAAAGGGTTGAAACAGTGCTTATTTGGTGGTAATGTACGTACCATTTGAAATTACTGACAGTGGCAAATTTTCTTTCTTGGCGTACGAGAAAGCCTCTTCAGGATTAAATCTCTTCTTTCCAGATATCTGATCGACTCTTTCCTCCAATTTTTTGATAGTTCTCTTCTGTTTCTCACATTGGTCTCGGAGTTTCGCGAGCTCCTGTGAGGATAAAACAGACAGTTCGGAGATACTCGGCATATTTTCTCCTTCTGGCAGTATAGCTTTTACTCCATGCTTTGCCACTTGGTCTACATTTCGTCGATCCCATTATTTCTCTCTATCTCATTCATTATTATTCTTATACATATATAGCAATCAAATGTACTCTGGAATGGGAGCCTTTCCCTCCTTCCTCGTCCCACTCCCCTGATTTAACTCGTCACCTGCACAAACCAAGATGGCGGCTGTACGGTAGAACATGACCCGTCATCCAGATTGCTTGGCTAAATACCAATTTTCTCTATATTCTTACAACCAACAAAATGCTTGAAACTAATACGACCTATTTATATCGTTACGATGTTATGTTTCGGTTTGAAGGTCACTAGTCAGTTGACGAGCTCTACCCATGTTACGACGAACAAAAACTCGTTCCCAGGGTCCTCTCCTACTCGTTTTCCGGAGCGAGAGGTAGGACCCTGGGAACAAGGTTGACGTTTGCTTATTGGCTCCTGCTGAGTACAGCCGTGTTCATTCTGCGAACATGTCCCTTTTTTAAAGTAACTTTCTTCCGCTTTTCTCGGGAAAAAAGTCATTACCTCAGAGTTTGAAGTCTCTTTATCTCAGGTGGCAATCAAACGGGAGCGAGCGGCGATGCGTCCCAATCGCGCGTAACTTCTGGTGGTATCCCCAGATAAGAAGTTTACTCTCGGTTTGCAGGCTACTATTCGGCTAAAAAAATTGTTTTCACGTCTTTCTAAGTCAACTAAAATTCGCGGTTAGCTTCTGGATACGAATCTGTCGAATGCCAACACTCTCGGCCTCGAACATAATTACAATAGCCACTGAGTGACTTTTCCGCGCTTCTTTCCATGTCCCGCCACAATGGCATCTGGATACTTACGTTTTTTAGAGAAATATTTTCTTCCTTCAACTTCACAACATGGTGAATTTTCTGTTTCTTGTTCTGATGGCCCAATAACTTGGCGTATTGCTGTCCTAATTTGGCAACCTACGGTCAGGAAAAAAGCACAACAGATGATGAAGGCTAATAACCTGATCCTCTCCCAGTTTAGACTATGAGCAGTCCCTCTTTGTTCTTAGTCCGTCGAGCGAAAAGCGCGAGACTCTCTCCTCACTTAATTTGAAGAAAAAGAGAGACTGCTTGCAGTCCACTCCCATTTGAACCCCTACTAGGTAGGATAGAAGATGGAGCGCCTTTAGACAGTAAAGCAGGCGTATTTTGCAATACGAACGATGATACTATAAATGTTCTTCAACCATCTGGAAGGTTGAAACCCCCTGAGTGGGGGAACTCCCGTATGAAAGGGGCGGGGATGCTTGTGGGAAATTTTGAATTAAACCCCTAAAGGAGACCAATCTGGGCGTGGCCCAACCTTTTTTTGACCCCTAAAAGATATCATTTTAAAACACGAACAAATAACAAATACAGCGACTTTCGGATATTACCATCGAATACTTTTACCCATACCTGCCTCGTACCCAGACTTGCGGTTCATAACCAGTCACTCCTTTCGCGCTCGCCTCTGCCATGCGAAAAACGAAGCGCTTGAGGAGGAGGCTGTACCCATACGTTGTTTTAACCCTAAAAGAGACCTTTACGGCTAAATCTAATGGCGTTTTTGCCCAGAGCACCCTAAGTGGAACCAAAATCCGAAATTTACACTCCTAAGCGAGACGACGAGCATCCCCACCTCTTTCATATGGGAGTCCCCCCCGGGGTTGAAACTGACAGAGAGTTGGGGCGTGTCAAAAAATGATGATGGCGGCCGCGATCAATGCACCTTTGTGCTTTCGTTGAAAAAAAAAAAAAAAAAAAAAAAAAATAGGCATCCAATGCCAAACGGCCAAAACGATCCACAATCATTGTGTGTCGTCTTTGTCATTTTCTTGCTCTACACAAAAGTAAATCGCGTGAAGATGTGTAAGGCATCCAATGCAAGGGGCCAAAACGATCCACAATCATTGTGTGTCGTCTTTGTCATTTTCTTGTTCTACACTAAAGTAAATGGCATGAAGAAGTGTATGTTCTCTTTCAATAGAGTGAAACTTCAAAGATTTAGGGTAATTACCTCATCCTTAGCTTGGCTATTTTGAGAAAGAAGTGCGTTCCTTTCAGCTTCGTATTCATCCAGTTGATCCTGAAACCGTGACATACAAGTATTAATTTTGAGAAAGAAAAATTGAATTTTACAGAGTGTTCACTTTTTCAGCGTTGTCGCTAAGAAATTGTAAGTTACAGATCCGTTTAATGCTTGGGGCGCAACTCCAGACACGGAATTTTCTATCTTCTTGAGCTGAAGATCTCCAAAGTTTGCTTACCATGGCGGCCTCTTGAAATCGACAATCGTACGCACAAACTGACTGCCTACAAACCACGTTCCATGTCTCGTTTCGCTTGAGTACAGCCAACTATCGACTTGCGTTCCTGCTAGCTAAATAATGGACATCCCGATAATACGGCCATTAGGCAAATCCCAAGCAAAAATAGGTAAAAGACGTTCGAGATAAACTCCCGCTATTATGGACTCTAGATGCTACGGACATGAATCGGGACTCCTTTTTCCGTCACGACGTCCCAATTTTATTGTTCGAGCACTCGTTATAATGGACAACGTGTGGTATCCCTGAGCAGGTTGTCAAGAGTAAGACCTCTTGCCAAACGACCACTAAATCTTCGCACCTTGGGAGGTCGCTTACCGGACATCCGACAGTATTTTTTTTATGGGACTAAAGGATAACTAACTGCATGACATAAGAGATTTTTAAACTGACCTTAAAGGGCTCGATCTTTTGCCAAAGCTCTTCGTACTTAGTCTGCCACCTTAAATATTAAAACAAATATGTAAATCTTTTCATGAAGACTTTTCCCCCATGACGAAAGAAAAGGCTAACGGTGTTCTCGATTTATTCGCCTTTGATAGTTTTCACAACAAATGAATACGCTACAGACATCACTCACATTTTAATCTGTGCTTTGCATTCATTTAACTGGTCGTCATTGTTGGCTTGGCTGAAAAAGAAAAAAAAGTGTTAAACGTTTATAAGGAATAGTTTTCACAGTTCTTTAAAAGGAGGCTTTTGCCTCAACATTTACTCTATTTCTGCTCACCAGAAAAAGTGCCTCCTTACAAGTAATGACATGTTTTTGTACTTGTGCTCATTCGGAGGGGTTGCTTTATTTTTCCAAGTAAAAAGGTACTCTTATCAATAATCTCTCTGGTTCTTATTCTCAAATATCTCCTGACAAGCTGATTGAAAAGAAGACTTATTTTTCTTGAATATGTGAGCCACTGATCGTTGGCAATAACAGAGGCAAGCGCTTGGACATTTTTTCCGTTAGAAGATGTTCGTTCAGCACACTAAGCCATAAAGCGCCTCTAAGAGACTGTCACTACGCTCTGGTCACTACGGTAAATCTTATCTTAGGCGAGAATCATTATGGCCACGCCCTTAATAAAGCAAGTGTGTCAGTTGGTGGGGCAAATAAGAAAAGTAGAGGTTATAGCTTGACGCGAGATCATGCATGCTCTTAAAAGAAAACTGCGAAATTTCTTTGGATGTTTAAACCACTTTTAACTAAAGGTAAACATATAAGGTAATCAAATGGGTCGGTGGACGAAGGGAGACGAAAAACCTAAGTAAATATAGCCTCCATAATTTGTTAACACTTTTCCTTACACGGGCGTTGCAATTACTCTTGGTAACCAAGGGCTGGCAATAAGGTTATTTAGGCAATAGCTCAAGATTATAACCTTACCCACATTATTTAATGAAAAAAAAACCGCTTATTAGTGGCTGGTACTTCTTCTGCGTTTGTTAATTTCGTCTTTCCTTCGTGAATTTCCAACGGAGCTTTGGACATAAGTGGGAGGTGCTTGTGAAAATGGTAGCCAATGTATCAAATAATTTGGTGTCCTAATGTCGTAATCTCAAATTGCATACACTGCTAAGAATTGGAAACCAGCCGCCCTTGTCAGCCTTACCTGGATAATTCCGCCTTCAGTCTATTGAATTCCTCTTCTGCAGCGAGTACCTTCCTAAAATGAAACAGAATTTACACACAATTTTGTTGCGACACTGTGACAAGTTAGTGGAAGAAATTGTACACGCAAGGAAAACGTTCAATTATAGACGTTAGGCGCGATACCAAGTGCCGGTATATAGTCCTAAAAACAATAGCAATACAGTAACAGAGGCTTTACAGTGAAAGTCATAATTCGCCGTTCCCACATCTCCAATAATACACCTTGCTTGCCGCCCAAAAGTTTGCAAATGGCAAATAGTAAACCAAAGTAGTTACGTTCGCCAATCACAACAGCCGTAGCCAGTTGCACTTCCTTATAAGGCAACCGTGAGAACAAAAGTGGGACTGGGTAAAGATGTCTGTTCACCATTTTCCCACAGACCAAAATGTACCCTGTTTATCTCCCCCCCCCCAAAAGAAAAAAAAGAAAAAAAACATAACCATTTTTTTCAATTTCTCCCGGGTAGTCGTCCAAGAGAAATGGAAGACAATGGTTATGCAAGTTCTTGTCTTGTTTTTTCTTTTCTTTTCTTTTTTTAGGGGGCGGGGGATTGGGTAAACAAGGCGCAGTATAGTGAAGTCTGTGTGAAAATGGTAAATAAATTGGTGTAAAGGGGATATGTCAAGATTATTTTCACATTTTTGAGTCATAGTCTATCAAACCTGAGCTGAAATTAGTCTAAGAATTCACAATTTATTTACAATGGTATAGTAATTTAAAAAAAAAAAAAAAATAACAGAACCACCAAATTTGGATTTCTTGATTCCAAATTAGCCTGAGAAAACAGACGACATTTCGCGACGCCACCAACGGTTTCCCACGAAATGACGTCTGAGAAACGAGCGTAGAAATTCCATACCGATGACGCGTCACAAAGCAAACAAACAAACAAACAAAGAAGAGAATAGAAGACAACAACGCTACTAATGATGCCCACCTTTCCATTTCCTTGTTCTTCTCATTCATTAACATTTCTTGTTCGCTCCTGAATCTAGTTTCAAAAGGAAAGAAAGTCGTCATGTTGCGAGAAAAATCGACAATATCCGTACGCACATGCACTCTACTTACTTGTCGAAATTTATTTCTGTTTGTGATAGCTTCTTTTGAGTCTCCACCAGGCGCCTTCATGGGAGAAACAAGATGGTATATTAACGGAATAGGCCTTTTTCTATCCGCTGCGAGTAGGGTAGTAACTCAAAAGAATTTTGTACAGGGAACTGAGATTCGCCCCGACTAAGGTCCAAACCCTTACACCATGCTTGCACTTAACATACCCCTTGGTCCAGAAATACTTTCAATGGGAATGGCACCCCTCATGATGTAACTACAGAAATGTTTTAGCTAATACTTGAGAAACTACAACTTTCCTCTCAAAATACCAAAAAAAAGTCAACCGTTAGGTGTGTCACGTTCGAGATAGTAAGGCACCCGTTTGAAAAATCCCTCATTTTCCTTTCTATAACTGAACCCAACCCGTGAAATCCTTAGGCTGCAATTTTATGTACCTCCAAACCTACCGTAAAGTTCCGAAAGCAACGACCCTCGTTACTTTCGGATTTAGCAGCCTTTTCCTATCGCTCTATACTATCGGAGGGTCGCTACTTTCGCTAAAACGTGTATCGTACGTGGGCCGTACGAAGTTACGATTATATCGCCACAATTGTGACTTTGGGAACTTTACGGTGGTACAGTCGAAGCGTTCGTAAGCGACCACCCCGGAAATTCGAAGAAGTGGTCATAACCAGAGCTGGTCGCTTACTACAAAGAGCTCTCGTAAGTGACCGTATAGTAAAATAATAGAGGGTGGTCGCTTACTAGAGCTTCAGAGACTCATTAATAATTCATAAAAAAACAGATGAAATTTATTTTTAATGAGTGTCTTTATATCTCAACTTAATTGAACTTTTACAAATATAAATACTGCACTGTACAAGATCTCTATCAACGAACCATGAGCGCAGTGTGCAGTTTCATGAAAGTGTTGATTATTATGAATGACACCCTGAGTGGTCACTTACGAGAGCTTAAAAACAAAGGAAAAGTCCAGTTGAGAGAGCTTTTCATTACAAAGTATGAGTCACAGTTCAAACGAGGTTCTATAAAAGTGATCGTAACCAGAGTGGTCGCAAGGAGAACTTCGACTGTACCCCTTTTGGTCGGGGGATCCCCGTAGGGTCCATAAGAAAAAGTGCCCTATTTACAAGAAAAAAAAGTCACGACTACCGTAACCTGCGACCAAACCTTCCAATTATGGCGAGCGAAGCAAACTGCGAGAGAACGCACGCGCGAGCGTTGAAAGCTCTCCTGTCTTTCCCCACCCATCGTACACGCGGCTCCTTTCGCGTGCGGCTCTTGCGTGACTTCTCGCTACTCCCTCAAATGGTGAGCTTGCTCGTAGGCTACGACTACTGACGCGACGACAGATCCTTGTCAGTAGGAAACTTCTCCTCAACTCTACGTTTTATTATTAACAGACGTCCAACTAACCTTCCAAACTCTTCTTTAGATTTGGTAGCTTTATCTTCATATAATTTTATTTGCCTAAAACAGAAAAACCACATGATATTTAATTCATACCTATGTCAATGCCCACCTTCTACGCATTCTTACTTTTTCCTCTACGTGGCTTACGCACTCTTTTTTATAAGAACAATTTTTAAAAGAACGTCCAACCGGGCCAAAAAAAAATAATAAAGACAAAAAAAAAAAGAACATGCTAAGAACATATCGGAGGAACTTTGTTTTTCACTGCTTTTACTTTCCAAAATCCAGAAAATTTGAATTACATAATGTCCTACATGGAATCAGAGGGCACTAAAATTTTGTTCTTTCAACACATTCCTAATGGGTATGGTCAATATTTACATTTACATTGTACTTGTACAATTCATTAACGTGAAAACTACAATCATTGTGTTATCTTGTCTATATCAATATGTGGCTTAAAAGTTATCAGATTTCCGTTATTGAAATTTAAGAACATTCTTTAGTTCCAGGCTCAAACTCCGCAGAAAATAAGAATGGTCCAGGCTCAACTCGAAAATAGGCGTTCTAATAAGCACGAAAGAGTATACGCTTAGAGATGTGCTCTCGAATCCGTCGTGGGCGTTTCTCTACAATGTACCTTTCACGGCATCTTACCTTGTAAAGTTCTCTTCGGTTTCCTTTAATTTTTCTTCTAATGCAGTGGCTTCTGAATGATATCTAACATAAAGCTGTGCATTAATAAGCAAATCTCTTCTGAAGAGCTCTAGCTGTGTTGGGAGGGGCAGATCAAGAAAATTCAGAAAGAGGGGGCCAAGGATTACTGTGCCCCAAAACCAAATAGATACTATTTATTTATTTAAAACAAATCTCTAAGAGAATTAACCTATGCACAGAATGCAAGGCTCCGGAAGACACACGCTGAGAAAATTATACAGAATACCCCAAAATTTCAGTTTTCTACCGCTCTACTATCTGAACGCCTGTAACAGGCTATTTTGTGAGTAATTTGCATCGAAATTATCCTGCCTTCGAGCAACCTCTCTAGGGACGGAGCGCGGCCTACGCGGGAAAAACGAGGGTCGACTGGGGCGCCTGGTTTTTTTCTTTCGTCGCTAATTGTTTGCGCGTGCTCTCCTGTCTGAACGCCTGGACCAGGCTACACACAAAAACACGACACACACCTGCCTACTTCTTCCTTTAATTTCCTTTTACTCTCTTGTGTTTGGCTTATTACCCTAAAGGAAATTCGTTAGAAATCAGTCACACGCGCCCACAAAACAGCCAATATGAAAGCAAATATTTCAGCCAGTTTAGTGCAGATATACCTGTGGTAAGTTCAATCGTATCTTACCTGTCCAGTTGCTCTTTAAGTTCCTCCAATTCTTCATCTCGTTGTTCTCTAACGCTATTTATGACAAAAACAAATTAACGGGGCGAATAAAAAGAAGGAACTACCAATAAACTGAATACACTTCGCATCAATCTGACTTTTGAAAAGTTCAAAGTGGACCAATTTCTGAATGTCAAGAACTTCAACTACTACTAACAGCTAAAAAAAAAACACCTCAGTTGTGAATTTGTCTTGAACAAACCTTAGCGTGTGTTGTAACTCTTTAGACATGTCCTCCTCTTTCTGATGAAGTTCATTAATTGTCTTGTGAGCCTGGTGGAGAATGTACAACATAGCTTCATCAAGTTAAAGGAAGTTAAAAGCTACTCAGCTATTTCACGTGGGCAACGTAGTCGATCGCTTGTTGCATACATTTAAAAGTCAGTCTTTTAGTTTCAGTTTCGAAGACCAAAAGTGGCGGCAAATTATAAAAACAAATAAAGGAATGGGATCGTAGAGGTATTGGAACTTACCTCTTCGAGTGAACTCCTGAGAGAATCTTTGGTAAATTCCGTTTCCTCTAACTGTTTTGCCATTTTCTCTCTAATGGCTTTAACTTCAGCCTAAAACAAACAAGCAAACAACAACATCAAACAACAATATTCAGACACTTGAAAAGTATCAAAATACTCCTGCCAAGTAGATTTTCGATTAACACCCCGTTTACACGGCCAGGCTAATTTTTGAAGGGTCAAAAACGTGCAGGGTTCCGCCTCTTGTTTACTCGGGACCCGTGGAACCTTGAAAGTTTATAAATGGCAAACAGTACTGCAAGCTGTAACAGAATTTGCACTGTCCCGTGTAAACGGGTTGAACAGGTAAAAAATACGTCCGTTCACATTGGTCCGGATCCGTGTGAACGGGATGTAAGATGTAAATTCTGAGGCTAACAAATGAAGGACACTTTTCTAAGTTTGACCTGAGCTGTTGCAAGTTCTTTTTGACACTGCGATAGTTGATCTTTCATGAAGTCTTTTTCAGCCTAAAAAAGAAGACAAAAAAATCATCTCACAAGATGGGAAAGAGTCTCTAGCGAGGTACTCGGGATTTATGGTGACAGGGAGGTGCAAAGGATTTTTTTATCGGGTTTTGAATTCGTGTTTTCTTTATGAAAAAATTTTGCCGGTTTTTTAGGGTAGGTTGACTTTTCTAGGGACACGTTTTGGTATTCAAATAATTAAATGGCTTACGTCACAGGCGAAACCAAACCTCTGTTCGGGGTAAGATTACGTCTACATCACAGGCTAAACAAGATTCGAAGGATTCGTGGTCAAAAAAAGTAATGGTACGTCACGCTACGTAGTTTACGCCAGACGGCTGTAAAAAGAACCCCCGAATCTTCTTGAAGACAGCAAAATATTTCGCCTGTTTTTACATTAAATTGGGAGGACTGTAAGGCGGGTCCTGGACCCAGGTGCATGAAAGGTGGATAAATCTTTATCCAGTGCCGGGATAACGCCATTTTTTCCCCTAGTCTAATACTTATACTAATATCTATGGATGGTGATATATTCATTGGATAGCGCTATCCAAAGTTTGCGCATTCGGGGCCAGGAAAGTACTTTTTTTACCTTAGAGCTCTCCAGTTGTTGATTGAGTTGGTCGCATTCTTCTTCAAATTTTTCGCTTTGTTGTTTAAGCAACATACAAGTGTTTTGTTGCTGGTCACTTTCCTGCCGGCTTTACAATTGAGATATAAAACATGTTAATTAAAGAAAGCAGACAAGGATCCTAAAGGCAATGTTACACAGGACGATTCGCAACGACAATTTTTAGCGCAACACAGTGTTGCAACATTGTTACGACATTGTTTTGAATGGTTGCAACATTGTTCCAACATTGCTACGCTGTGTTGCGCTCAAAATCGTCGCTGCGAATCGTCTCATTACCTTTACGCGTCTTTCAGGCGATAAAAATAAAAAGAAATCAGTAAAAATGTGTTTCTTACAATCTTACAAGTAATCGACTAGCGGTTGATATTTTTATATTTTATGCATCTAAAATGTTTGGCCGCTTTATAGAAAAAGGGTAAGGCCCATTTAAAACGTCGAACTTCACACATGCAACGCAATGGATTTTCGTCGTTAGTATTAAATTCGCAAATATTGGAAACTGGCCAAATTCGGCGGTAAAGCTCTGCGATGGCCCCAGTTGCAGGCGGCGCATGTTCTCCTTCGTCCGAGAAGTAGCCCAGGCGGTACCGGCGTCTACGTCGCAGATTCATCGGTGGCATATAAGAACCAGGCTTTAAGGGAATGCAAGAAAGTCTTGAGTTCTGGATTTCGGATTCCAATCGTTAGTGGGATTCACGATTCCTTGAGCTGAATTCCCGATTCCAAAAACCAGGATTCCAGATACTCTTCCATGGGGCGACCCCTTTGGTTTTTTCAGCAACTCAGCTTAAGTATACTTGGGTTTTACGACACATTTTTGGCAGGCTGACAATCTCCCTTGTGGAAATAATTCTAAAAATGTTACAGAATACTAGGCTGACCTTTTCTGTAGACAATCTTTTGTAACTTCCAACTCTGCTAAGATCAGCTGCTTCTCCTTCTCTGCTTCCGACTGAAAGAAAGCTAGAATTTAGAAAAAAAATGTGTAAGACACTCTTATATTGCTCGATCTTCCAAATATAGTAAGCGGTAGTTGATAATAAAGAATTAGCCGGAGATTGACGTCGATCAGTAACAGCGAAATATTTTGAATGAATTACAATCACGCTTGAGCAAATTCAGAGAGAGGTTGCAGTCAGTGGAAACTGAATAGGGGTATACCTTCTCTCCAGTTTCCCTTCGGCCCTCATAAACCGATTTTCTGGCGTTCATTACTAACTTGCTTGAATTCCACAAAAAGCCAAGATCTCCGTATACGTACTACACGTATTTGTATGGCAGGTTCAATCTAGTTTGATTGTACTTCACATGAACAGACGCGACAAGATGCTACACTTCTGGAGCATAGAAAAAAAAACCGGTGTAACAACACCAGGACAAGAAGTCGGAAAAGTAGAAATGGAGTGTAGACTATCGATTCCCACTGTACAGCCTGCAAGCATCCACTGGGAATCGTGATGGATCATCACTAGCCTGAGTATCAGGCGTTTCTGGGGAAAAGGGGAAAGATGGAAACGAAATCTAAAATCTCCTCTCCCCTAGCCCCTTAGGAAGGCCTGATACTCAGGCTAGATCATCACGCTTGTTCCACGCGAGATTGGTGGGAGTAACCTATAAAAGTGATTCCAAACGAAAAGCCCGCTTGCAGGAAGCCTACTGCATCGCATTGCAGTTGTTTTTACTCACTGTAGGAATCCTCCAGATCTTGATATTTCCCTGTCAGCGATCTTAAATTTTGCGTCAATGTCTCTTCGCACCTAAAAAAAAAGATATTTCCACAAACATGCAAGGAATGTAGAAAGGAGCCAACCTCGTTCTCACGGCGTTTTCCCGGAACGAGGTTGTGGGAGCTCTACCAAGACAAATCTTAAGTGCATTCATTTTTATCGTGCAATAGCAGCATATCCTTTTTTTCCACAATGTTGTTTTTTTTCTACCGTTGCAGTTACTTGTTAGTTAAGCCTGTTTCAGGAGATAAGCGAAAAGAAGAGAGCCCATCTCATCCAATATAAATATACGTTATGATTTAGTAAAAACGGGTTCCGCAGATCCTGCTTACGACTCCGTCAAACTAGACCGATCACGACGCAAGGATACGAGCATAGCGATTTGTTTATCCTTCTACTTCTGCTCCGACTTCGACAGTCTGATTTTCACTAGATCACAAGCGACGGAACGGAAACGTTCTGATTCTTGCCACTCCAATTCCGCTGAGATTCTGCCCTTACGGCGCTAGCTGTCTGCAAATCCTTTGTCGGTGAAAAGAGCCATGCGCCGAAAAAACGATTTCATTTACACTTAAGGGTTTGCCAGACTAAGTATTAACATTCATCTACCAAAATAAAGGCTTTTGGAAAGTCTTGAAAAGCATGTAAATGTTTAGGAGTATACCTTTTAAGCTCTTCTTGAAGTGACTCGACCTGGTCGTTGGCGATAGAAAGGCACTGTTCATAATCAGTCTCGCATTCTTCAAGTCTGCTTTCAAGGGATAATTTTTCTACGGATAAACATCTGAAATTAAAGAACAGAAGACATGGAAATTGGCTTAGCATTTTTAAAAAACCCTTGTCCAAGTCTGGACTTCAGCAATGCAAAGTGATTAATCATGGGTTCAATATAATATTTCTGCTCCTGCGGCATTTCTCCCCATCCTCGACTCGACCGCCTCTCTGAGAAAAAGTCTACCTCGACCTGAGAAACAATTAAAGTATTACACCGATGTGCAGAATGTCGTAGGTTCAATCCCTGTCGGGGACTCAGATTTTTCTCTGTCCCGTGTTCGTGACATGATTATCACATCTTTTTTCGTTTCTTCACCGACCTTACGGCCATCACTCTTTATTTAACACACACATAACGCTTTCGACATTGTTGGTCCTAGCCGTACGCATGCATATATCAACCTTCTATATGGCCTAGCATGCCGCGAGTACTTCGTAGCTCAGTGGTTAGAGCATCCGAGCGGTGTTGTGGAATGTCACAGGTTCCGAATTCCTGTCGGGACTCAGATTTTTTTGTCCCGCGCTCGTGACATGATGATCACATCTTTTCTCATTTCTTCACTGAGTTTAAAATTTACCATCATTCTTTTCTATTTTGTCTATGTACCTATACGGAACGCTAAAGAAGGCTTGTAACCTTAGCTATCAGACCAACAGCGCTAACTACATAATGCTATATTTGCCAGCACCTCCCTCTTTCTTCTGCAGACTGTTCTTTCTCAATCATCTCCAAAAGTTTATTCTCTAAATCCTGATTTTTGCTTTCAAAGCTGTTACAAGCCTCTTGAAGCTGGATAATTCTGGACTGAGCCTCACTAAAGTTCTCTCCACTCTGCTTCAACGAACACTCGAGCTTGTAACCAAACTCTTTACTTCTCTAGGAAAAGAAAAGAAAAACATGAGGTCAAATTGCTGTTTTTGAAATCTAGCAGATTATTGGAAACCACCGTTGTTTGTCCTTTGAGGGAGTGACATGTACGCGCAAAATAATTTAGTGAGATGCCGATTACTAGGCCATTTTGCGTTTCCCCAAGCCTCTGTTTCAAAGCGAGGCTTAGTGCAAAAATGTTTTTTTATTCTTATTCAGATAAAACTTAGAATATAAAACTCATTTTCACAAAAAAGGTTTTGCTCTTAGCCTGGATTTGAAAGTGAGTTTCTGGAACTAGGAAATGGCCTATTTAAAGCTTTTCTTTACTTTAATGTGTTAAAAATGGTACGGTATTGACTCTTGAGTGATCTAAATCGAAGAAAATTGCTTTTTTGTAGACGTTCGTAATGATCTTTGCTTGTCATGATGAGTAAGAAGACCAAACCTTTTACTTGTGAGAGGTGACAAGCGGTGGACATGAAAACAATAAAAGAAGAAATGAAATCGCCTAGCAAAGCAGAAAATCGTTACTACTAACTGAAGCAAACAGTACTGAACATCAACAATTTACCATCATTTCTTTGCTCAGCATTTCCTCAAGAGCATGAATCTTGTTTTGACTTTCGTTGAGAGTGTTTTCCATCTTCGTACGGATTTCCTTTTCAGAGAAACACAATATAACAAATAAATTATAATCTTATATTACATATAAACAAAAAAAAACTTCATTTTCTTATAGACTAACAACCCTCTTTTCCCTAAATACTTATGATATTACGCATGTGTTAAACGGTCCTTTGGGGTATATAAGTACTTTCCGAGACAAAAAGCCTCCCACGCGGACGTTCTTAGAGTTATGTCACGCGTTCGTCAAGAAAGTCGTTCGTGGAGAAGGAGCGAAGGACTTAATTGCAGTCCAATGCATTATTGCAAAACCGTTTGAAACTGTAGAAGAACACAAAGGGGGAAAAAAGAATAATAATCAAACCTACCTGAAAGGAGATGGGAAAGATTAAAACAGATTTCGTTCACTTGGGTGAACCAGAAAAATAGTGGCCCCCTTTTTAACGTTTTCTCAACTTGTACGTTTGTTTAATAGTTAAAAGACTTGCTTTGCCAATTTGCTCATGACAAACGTTACATGTAACAAGAAAATATACAAAAACACTAGAAACATATACGTTGTAATGAATCCAATAAGTTTTAATTAGTACACCGTTTTTCAAATCACCTCTAATTTATCTTCCGTTTCTTCAAGTTTCTCTCTCAACTTAATGTTCTCACTTCTTAACTGTGCAATCAACTCTGAAGAACGAAATAAAATAGTAAAAAGCCTCAGCACGGTTAGTAACAACAGGTGGACAAAATCAGATTATTTAATACTGAATGGACCCCTTCACAGTTTTTTTTTCAACTTTTGACATGGACAAGTTGAGGAAAATAGGTCGACAGCACTGGAAAGAGTGCCTGTAAATTACATGTAGTACAACTGCCAAGTTTTAAAGTGATTCGTCTTAAGCGAGTGAAGATATAGCTCCGCGAATTTGCGAAAACTTACAGACGTTTGTATGGTGGGGGACAAGTTTGTGCCCCCACTATATTACCAAAGATATGTGGATCACCTTCAAGAAATCCTGTCCAATTCCTGCTCCTATTAATATCGGGCCTACTGAACTGAAGAGGGTTTCAGAGTTTAAACTACTGGGTGTATATGTACAGAACGATCTCAAGTGGAATACACATGTCTCAAGTATTGTCAGCAAAGCGTGTAAACGGATCCACTATCTTAGGGTCTGTAGAACAGCCTATCTCCCCAGGGACATTGTCTTACAACTTACATCACTAAGATTAGACCTGTTTTAAAATATGCCTCGCCTGTCTGGGGAGGGCAGCCCATTTACCTCGAAGAAGGTCTACAGAGAGTGCAGAATAGATGTCTAAATGTCACTGGTCTCCCTAGGGATACTGTTGAGTCACTTGTAACTAGGCATCAGAATTTGACGAGGAAAGAATAAAAACGTATCCTAGAATCTGAAGCACATTCTTGCAACCGTTTTTTAGACAAGCCAGTGGATCATGGCCATAATCTAAGATCTTGTAAGACTAACCCAGCGCACCTCAGAATACCTGTATCACGCACTGTTAGGCACAAACAATCATTTATTCCTAGAGGTGCTAAACTTAACTGAATTTGATATGTATATATAATATGTAGTGTTTTGAATTTTTATTGTAATATTACCTTAATTCTTATCGCCAAAGGTAATAAATAAAGGTGATTATTATTATTATACAAACGTCTGTAACATTTCGCGACTTTGAGGAGCTACATGTTCGTTAGTTTTCAAAAAATCATTCTCAAACTAGGCAGTTTTACTAATCTGAACTTAAAGGCGCTCTCTGGTGTCGACGGATTTTCCCCAACTTGTCCATGTCAAAAGTTGAAAAAAAAAAAACCCGGAAAGGGTCTATTCCCCGAAATAAGATCATGTTTACCATGAAGTTTCTGATTTGCTTCCTCGACTTCATCTCTGTTACTTGTCACTTCTGAAACTGTTCTGCCTGTTCAGTAACAAAGGCAAATAATTCCACATTCACTCACATACTGAATAGTTGCCTGCGTGCAGACTTCTCCTATATCTTTTGCTGCACACACGGTATAGAGAAGGAGTTTGCTTTTGGGATTGGTTTATGTAAACAATAGTCTTCGAGAAAATGTTTTTTATTCACATTATCACCGAGATCATAATGCAACTTTCTTACCACCCAAAATTTAGCCTGCATAGCAAGCGTTTTCGCGCGAGTTCGTCGTTACGAGATGAGAGCACAAACGAAAAAAAAAAAAAAAAAAAAATGACGTGGGAGGGGAGAGAAAAAAAACCATCCCCTGCCATTATTTTCGAATTTTGATCTTGCTCCCACTCTAACTTTTGCGCAATAACCTCGATTGTTATACTTAGGGCACAAATAAAAACATCACGATTCATAAGCTCGCATAAAAAGAAATGTTTTAAGTTTGCGTTTAAAATCATCAATTGAGTTTGCAGATTTAATATCCTCAGGTAAGTTATTCCAAAGTTCCGGAGCAGCAACAGAAAAAGCTCGTTTACCATACGAATTGAGATTAAAATAGGGTTTAACTAATAAATTTCTATTAGAGGATCTAAGATTGCGGCTGGGTGTATACAATTGAAGGAGTTCCTGTATACAAATTGGAGCTCTATCATGTAGTACTTTGTGAGTAATTAACATAATTTTAAATTCAATACGAAAGGAGACAGGGAGCCAGTGAAGATCTCTCAGGACTGGAGTAATATGGCAAATCTTGGACACTGGTTGACAAGGCAAGCGGCAGAATTTTTAACATGTTGAAGCTTCCGAATAAGATAGGAATTGGTAGGCCGTACAATAAAGAATTACAATAATCAAGTTTAGAAACTACGAAGGCATGATTAATGATCTTTGCAGCATCATAAGTAAGATATTTGCGTATGAAACCAATGTTACGAAGATGGAAAAAGGACGATTGACAGACTGCATTGACATGAGGTACCATACAAAGGGACTGATCAAAGATAACTCCAATAGTGCGTGCACTGGGGGAGCAGGATAAGGTCTCATTACATATATCAACAAAAGATAGTGGTGGCCGAGGTCGATAGGAAGAGGATATTACGAGAACTTCGGACTTGTCTTTATTTAATTTCAGCTTGTTGAAAAGCATCCATGCGTCCATGTCCCGAACAAAGTTTACCAATTTGGTTTTTCTTGCTGGGAATTAATTTTTGTGATTTTTAGAAAGTACCCAGTACCCAGCGTGATGATATTTTCGTTTTTATTGAGTACGTCCAATAGCAATACATATTTTCAAGCCATAAACCAGTATTTCGTTGTTTCTGAATGAAAGAGACACGTTTTGACTGAAAAGACACGATTTCTTAGAACTGTATTTTTGTGTAGCGAATTTAAGTTAGAGAATATTTACTCTGGAGTATATTTTTGCGGGAAAAATGTTTGCGGTACTTTTCATCTGCGGGAACTTATTTTTGCAGATCGCTGGAAAAACCGCAAAAATCGCAAAAATTAGAACCCGCAACAATTTCGTGCCACACGGAAGCTTAGACCACGTTTACGTAATGCTCCTCAGTCCCTAGGCCTCATTGCGCGCGGTGCGTCTCGGGTCACGTGGTCCGAGCGAGTTTTTGAGTCTTCCAGCTTCCAGCTAGCCTGTGTACCGTAGCCTGCAGAGCAGGCGTATTTTGGAGCGGGATCCATGAATTGTTTTCAGTAATGACGTTGTCCCGCCATCTTGGACGTTAATACTACCAGAGAGTTGGGACGAGTCAAAAAGTGATTTTAAGGGAGAGTTAGATGGGTTTAAAATACGCCCCTCCCCCCTTCCACCGCCCCTCCCCCTTAATCTTTTTCGTTGCTTTTCAAGATGGCGGCCACGATCAATGTACCTCCGAGTTTTCGTTAAAAAACGCCTGCACTGCAGGCTATGTGTACCGTTGTACTTATGTCCAATCTTGTGAACATGTGCTCTGACGTAATGTGATATACAAGCCAATCAGGTCATGCGATCTATCGTGGTAGTCGCGGCATAGGACTGGAAAAGAACCTCCGTTGCAGTTTGGTCTTCGAGCAAAATTTGCAATTTTAGCGGGTCGGGGAAGGTAGTAAAATTTGTCTTGCAAGGTTAAGTAAACATGGCGGCCGAATCAACAATTTCGGATTTTAAGGCTGCGAAGGAGAGTATATTTAATGTTCTTTTGGCATTTTACATTAAGAATTCGAAAAAAACAATACCGGCTGTGGGTCGTTAAAGTTAAATTTCACGTTTTTCCATGTTATAAAAATATGAAGAGCGGATTGTGCAGTTTCTACTCCGTCTCTCATTTTCGTATCGATCAACTTAATTTTAGCCCACATCCGTTAAGATAGCTAAGACTTGTCGGATCTTGTTTACTGTGGGTAATGTCGACCGAGATATCGGTCGATATAGCGGTCGACACTCGGTCGATAGTCGGTCGACACTCGGTTGACCGACAAGTCAAATTGCAAAAATATTTTCACCATCTAAGTCCATATACAGATCATAATCAACTCTGCATCTTATGAATATTGTGAACTCGAATAAAAAGCGAACCGGCTTACGAAAATACGACACTAATTGATTCTGTTCCTTATGCAAATAAAGCGTTCAAAGACAGGTCTTTACTGGTGATCTTTTAAGCATAATATGCGTAAGTTCGCTGATTTTGTTGTATTCTTGATTGGCGCAGGAAACAGTTAGTGTTTCCGTTTTTAATACGAAGGCTGAACGGTTGTAAAATCACTAGTTTTTCTAGAAAGGTGTGTGACTTTCGGTGATTGATTGGTAGGGCACAGATTGAGTTAACGCAAAATGTGACTTCTTTCCACAGTCCACAGTTTGAGATAACTCAAATCCTGGCCTTTAAAGCGAAGCCTATAAATAGTCCACGATCTGGGAACCACATTTCGCGCTGTAGCAAAATACTGACTATTCAGGGGAACCCAACGATAATTTTCTGTAAAATAGCTGTTCGTAGAAGCAAATATATTGCCTAGAATTTTCTATCACTTGAGGAAGGCTAAAAATTTCTTACAAAATAGGAAACCTAAAATTTTCGGATTCGAAAATGTGATGGAGAGAGGAACCAGAAAAATTCTAACTTTCGTAATACGTTAATCTGCATCTAAAATTTTCGGGAAAATACCGTAAAATTCCGAAATTAAGCCCCTCCAAATATAAGCCCCCATATTCGTAACGCAAAAAATCCTCCGTAAAATCGTCCCTCCGGATATAAGCCCCCGCCCCGGGGGTCTTGGACTTGGAAATCGCCCTCAAATACAAAACAAAACAAAGCAAAAATATATAAAGTTTTGTCTTTGCCAAAGAACCATCACAAGCCCCAAATGATTGCAGTTAGAAAGTGTCACAGTTTATTTCTGTTTGCGTAGTTCACTCCTCACTCTTGGCTTGGATTTCTTCGGTCCATATAGACAAAGTATACTTAGACTACTTGTATGGCTGTGTTTTAGAAAGGTCTAAGTTCTCAAGACGAGTTTCAGTTAAAACTTTCTGCAAATTACTGACATAAATTTCCTTCTAACTGTAAGCTAGCCCCCTCGATTTTGAGACGCAAATTTCCCTCCAAGGATAAGCCTAGCCGATTTTAAACGCAAATTTCCCTCCGAATATAAGCCCCTCAAAAAGGGCCTTTGAAAATGTATTTCAGTGTATTTGGGAGGACACCGTCGTTGGGTTCCCCTGGTTATTTGGGAGGACACGGAAAGACTTATCTCAAAATGTGACTCTTTACGTTCGACTCGGTTTGCGATATTTTTTTGGCGCAAACCTTGGTCTTAAAACATAGAACACAGATTGAGTTAACGCAAAATACGTCACAATTGTCAGACCACATTATGCGTAAGCGCAAACCCTGGTCCCAGTACAGTGCTCCTTTTTTTGCCAGCAATGACTTTCTGACGCCGATCGGGTCAATTGACTGGACGTGATTTTTGAGCTGAGAACAGAAGAGTTAAACACCCCGTATTTTGCAATAACGCAAAGTGTGGTATCGAAACAGCACCATAGTTTGAAATGTCGCAAAATAAGACTTTGCAACAGGCCCATCTTTTGAAACGTATAAGTTATTTCAAATGATGTCTTTGTCTTTTAAAAAAGGGCAGTCTTTATTGTTCAGTGCAGTTGGTCGAAACGGAAAGGGTTATACTATGGTAGGAGTACGTTCATTGGTTGTAGATGAGGTTAATCGGCAAATCTCACTGTTTAAAATTACAGACGGTTTAATTTGCACTGTGATGTCATTGATGTTCTAAAGGTGGGTGAATGTCCTGTCAACCATAACTTGGAAGTATCTACTTTTTTGGATTAGTATCTTTCTCTGAATCCTGACTGCCAAACTTACATAATTTTTGCTGGGTTTAAGCCGAAGGCCTTTCAGAACCCCTACCCCATTATTATACTATCTATTCTGAGGATCCTATAGAAGCCATCTTATCCACTTCTTGACAAATGTAATTTACGCGATCACAATATATGTAGTCACTTTCTTTCTATGCATCTACCTTATAAAGTCAACTTTTCAACCGCGAATCTTCTGTAGAATTCCTTCTCAAAAATGTGCGACACCATTATAATGTTCAACCTCATTATAGCTAATCTAGACGTGAAAATGCGACCTCGCCCAGCAGCACATCCCCATCAGCAAGAACAGAAAACAAGGAAATACTATATATAAGTTATGTTTCAATTCGCGGGAAACATAATGGAAAATGATGCTTAAAAAACTGATCTTTTTCCTCATCGAGTTTTTCTGTTGAGGGTAGAGGGTGGCTGTACACAGGTTACTGCCAAAAATCAAACAGCTAAACACATTGTTTTGTTGATTACTTATGATGCACCTATGACTACAGGAATTACTTGCGTTTCTATAGCCACATTTGTTCAAGCTTACTTTTAGTACGGTGTTCTTAATTAGTTAATTCCATCTCGATGCATTGATGGAAGTTTTTTAGTCAGAGGACCTATCTTCGTCAACGACAATAAAAATGCTTTATTTTTTCTTCATAACAATGTCACGTCGATTGTCAGATATTTTTCTGTCATTTCAGCACCATTAGATCAGGAACCACACGAGGTTCAATCTCAACTGGTACCCAAATTTTCACATGCTTTCTTTTTGTCAACTCATTTATGAGTTTTTGCTAAACGTTTGATTAACCTTTGTCAAATTCACCATTTTTGGCAAAAATTTGCCTTTTTCGAAAAATCAGTAATTGTCAAGGTAGCCTTTTTGCCTTTATTGCCCAAGATGCCCGTTTTTGCCGTCTCATTTAAACTCTGCCAAACCTTTGATGAATTTTTCCAGAAATTCATTGATTTCGCAAAAAATGGCATTTTCGTAAAAACCCACAATTAACGACATCCTTCTTTTGTCATCTTGTTCAAAATTTTTGCCAAACCTTTGATAAGTTCTTGCAAAATTCGCCATTGTAGCCAAAGTTGCTATTCTTGCTAATTATCAACAGACAATTTTCCCACTTCCTTTGATGAATCCTTGCCGAATTCGCGAATTTTGCAACATTTGTCATTTTCCTAAAACTCACAATTATCGACATGCCTCGTTTGTCATCTCATTTGAATTTTGGCAAACCTTAAATGAAATGTTGCCCAATTTGCCATTTTTGTTATAATCGCCATTTGTCAAGATGCCCCTTTTTGTCATGTCTTTGTAAATTTTTGTCAGACCTTTGATAACTTCTTGCCAAATTCGCCATCTTTGCAAAATTTGTCATTGTCCTAAAAATAGTCAGCTATCAACATGCCCCTTTTTGTCATCTCATTTGAATATTTGGCCAAACCCTTGATGATTTTTTTGGCACACTCGCCATATTTGTCGAAATCTACCTTTTGTCAATATTACCCTCTTTGTCACCTCATTTGAGGTTTTGCCATACCGTTGATGGATTCTTGCCCAATTCCCCAGTTTCTCAAATTTGCCATTTTTGTGTAAATCGCCAACTGTCAATATGCCTGTTTTGTTGTTTCATTTTCTCAGCTCCTGTCTCAGTCCTTGCCAAATTCGCCGGTTTCGCAAAATATGTCATTTTCGTAAAACCCACGATTATCGACATGCCTCTTTTGTCATCTTGTTTTAATTTTTGCCAAACCTTAAATAAATTTTTGCCGAATTTGTCATTTTTGAAAAATCGCTATTTGTCAAGATGTCCTTTTTTGTCATCTTATGTGAATATTTGGTCAAACCCTTGATGAATGTTTGGCACACTCGCTATTTTTGCCGAAATTTGTCGTTCTCGCCTACATTTGCCATTTTCTTATTGTAATAGCCATTTGTCAAGATTCCCCCCTTTGACATCTCAATTGAGGTTTTGCCAAACCTTTGATGGATTCTTGCCCAATTCCCCGTTTTCTCAAATTTGCCATTTTCGCGAAAATCGCAAACTGTCAAGATCCCTCTTTTGTTGTCTCATTTAATTTTTTTGCCAGACCTTTAATGAGTCCTTTGCCAAATTCGCGAATTTTGCAAAATATGTCATTTTCGTAAATCCCACAATTATCGACATGCCTCTTTTGTCATCCTGCTCAATTTTTTGCCAAACTTTTTAAAATTTTTTGCCAAATTTGTAAGTTTTATAAAATTGTCATTTGTCAAGATACCCATTTTTGTCATCTCATTTGTAATTGGCCAAACCCTTGAACTCTCCATTTTTGACCAATTTTTTTCCTTTTTCGCCTACATTTGCCATTTTCTTTTTATAATCACCATTTGTCAAGATCTCCCTCTTTCTAACCTCATTTGAGTTTTTGCCAAACCTAATTTCGTGAAATCGCTAACTGTCAATATTGCTGGTTTGCACTCGCCGTCACGGCGGCCATGCTGGTGCTGAAGAAAAAAAAGCACTTCTCTCCTCTCGGAACTTAACTCTATTTTCGTGTTAATACTTAAAGAAAAATACTATTGTATTGACCCCCCCACATGGCAGCCTTGTCACGTGGTTGCAAACCAAGAAGGCCTCTTTTGTTGTCTCATTTAAAATTTTCGCCAGATCTTTGATGACTCCAAATTCGCCAATTTCATAAAATTTGTCATTTTCGTAAAACCCACAATTATCGACATGCCTTTTCTGTCAATTGTTTTAATTTTTGCCAATAATAATAATAATAACTTGATTTCTATAGCGCTGTTATCCTATGTTCAAGCCGCTTTACAGTCGTGTAAACAACATTATTGAAAAATATTTAGAAATTTACAACCATATCCTATTATATTTACAATGAGTAAAAAAGGAAAAAATTCAAACTAAAGCAACTATTAAACCATCTTATTCATAATGTTAAAAAAAGGGAAAAATTTAAACTAACGGAATATATACAAATCTACAAAAACAATGATCCTTTATTACTGAGTTTAGTAAACAAGTACGTCTTTAGTGATCTTTTAAAACTCGAGATGGTGTTGGACCTAACCTATAAATTCTTGCCAAATAAATCGCCATTTGTCCAGATGCCCTTTTTTGTCATCTTATGTGAATATTTGGCAAGAGACTTTTTGGCATTCGCCCAAAATTTGCCATTTTCTTATAATCGCCATTTGTCAAGATTTCCCTCTTTGTCACCTCATTTGAGGTTTTGCAAAACCTTTTGATGGATTCTTGCCCATTTCCCCATTTTCTCCAATTTGCCATTCTCGTGAAAATCGCCAACTGCCAATAGGCCTCTTCTGTTCTCATTTAAATTTTTTTTTTGACCTTTGATGAATCCTTAATTGCTAAATTTGCCAATTTCGCAAAATGTCATTTTCGTAAGACCCCCAATTATCGACATGCCTCTTTTATCATCCTGTGTTAATTAGGTTTAGGGTGATAAATATGTTATAAATTCTTGTCAAATTTGCCCTTTTCGTAAACAAAGGAAAGGTAAAAAAGCTAAAAGGGAGAACTCGCCATTTTCACATCTTCTATAATAGACCTTGTTTTGCATAAGCAGTCCTTAATTTCTCTTGGGACGACTGTAATACCCAGGGGAAATTAAGTGTAAGGTTATGGAAAATTTTTGGAGGGCAAGCAAGGCGTGTAGGAGATGTGCAAATGGCGGATGAAGAGTAAAAAATCACGTTTCCTGCTCCACTTCCACATTTCCCATAATGCATGCACCTCATTTGCCCCCCCCCCCAATTTTGCATAACCAATGTTTTGAATTTCTCTTGGGACAACTACAATACCCAGGAGAAATGAAAACAAGGGTTATGCAAAATCTTCGGGGGGCAAATAAGGTGTATTATGGGAAATGTGGAAGGACGTATATTACATTTTTTTAAAAAAAGCTAGTTTGCCTTGTTTGTCTTAATGACTATGCACGTTTCCGATAATGTATGCCTTCCCTACTTTAAGAGATTCTTTCCAAAAGGAACTCAATTCGGTCCTTACTACACTACTTAAATAAAGATGAACAGTTTTTGATTCAAACGCTAGGGCCGTTTGTTCCCAGTATAAACTGGGAAAGTCAATAGTTAGGTCAGGTCACGTCACGATGCCTATTACCGCTAAGCCAATTAAGGCCTCGCTTATATGTAGAAACGTTGTCCGGGGTATAAGGGTCACTCTCCTTCTTTAGCCGCCCTGACCGCCAACGTTTCATAAATTTACGCCCGGCTATAAGGGTGCCGCGCGTAGACCGCTCACCCTTTCGATCGTAGGGGGCCAACGTTTCTCCACACAGACACTTTGAACGCATACGCGATCGCTGCTTTAGACAATCAGAGCATGCGCGCGCGCTGTTAGCTTGGGCAAAGGGGTCAGTTTTATTCTCAGATAATTGATCGCTAAAGGAAGAGAAAACCTTTCCCGGGACAATTCTTCTTCATATAAATGGGGCCTATAAAGTCAGTGCTAACTTAGCTTCCCCACCAACCTACAGCCTGTGGTCAAGAAGGGTACGAGGGCATGCAGGGGGACCTATTTAAGGGTGGATGGACTCGTTATAAATACAATGGCCATCCACCACATCTATAAGCAAACATCCAGATACTGTAAATATGAGAGGAGGACAATTGATTCAGGAAAAGTTCAAGATCTGTTCATTCAAAGAATGCTATTCTCTTTTAAATTTTCAGTTTATAGCTGAAAAAATAAATCTATGTGATACATTGTATGCCATTTTCCCAGTAAGTTAATACAATATGTTTGGTACGTGATTTCACCAGCCTTTGTGACGGTGATACGTAGAAACAATAGCAACACATGCACGACTGCTGAAGAGACGTTATACAAAAAAACACCAATTTATAAAATAAAATCGGACCATACTAATGAGCACTTAATTTTGCACATTTATTTTAGTTGCTTTATACCATGCACTGAAGACGAGGGAGAACCCCGCCTAAGATCTAAACTGAAGGAATCCATCCCAAGTACATAATGATAATAATAGTTCGTGTTTACAGTGTATTAGTTTGGCTGTCATTAAGAGCTGGAAGGCCGGGGATCTCGTCCGGCTACTACGAATGTGGTCCCCAGCTACTTTCATACAAAAATAGAAGAAAAACAGAATCAAAAGAAATCCCTAGCAGTTTGATTTCCCGCCTACTTGTGGCACTAACACGGCAACTTGAAATCTTAGCAACGACCCTGGAACTATTGGGTAAGCTTAAACCTAGTTATTTATTTTACTTGGGTTTGGGTAACATTCCTATTGAATGAAATACAGGTAAGAAATTAAAAACTCACTTAGGTCCAGGTTTCCATGTAGGAATTTCATAAATCATTCTATAACACTCCCATATCCGTTATATCCTAGACGCCATGATAAACCATAATGGGAAAATTTTTATTGTTGACATTTATGGGTAGGATAAAAATTTCAGAGTAAAATATCGGGAAAATGTCTCAAAAAAGTAAAAAAATCCAGCAAATAAAAAAGGAAAGCACCTAGCATTTGACTTCCCAATTAGTACCATTTCATGTAAAATCTCTCTCATGATAAATGGTTAGGAGAGCAAATATCCCAGCCGTATGAATTCTTGCCTCAAGTTGTTAATTATTTGACACTTGATTTAATAATGAACAATGAATGACAAAAATTTGAGGAATCACGCCCATAAATTTATTTTTCGAAAAAATGCCATCTTGAATTTGCAGCAGTTTAATAAAAGCTGGTTAAAAAGTTAAGGTGTATTTTTGAAAATTACCTGACTCTTATGAGGAGCCCAACATTTAAGTAAAGATACAATTTTCCTTTTGACTGCCTACCATCGTATACGAGTACTAAACATTGACAGATCTTTATGATTTGATCCCTACCCTTATCCTCTTTCCTAATGTTAAAATCAATACTACAAAACGTTGATTTACTAAACCAAATATCATGCCGCCATTGTTTTCTCTTTCTAGTTCCTTAATTTGGGATAATAATGTTTTGTGATGGGGTTCTGTCCATGGAAAACCTGACCTCTCTTCTGAATAGACCATCTTTTGGTACAAAATCTGCAAAAATAATGGATTAACATTAGGACCTGTTGATACTTCATTTGGCAGGTGTTACAGCGGTGATCATATTGGCGTGAACACCTGAAATATGTCTGGAATGTTTATTGTGATGTAACCAATAACAGACGAGATCATCACACCACAGAAACCACAGGCAACGTACGGTTTCCTATCTGTCACGGAACAAATTATTTTTATTTTGTTTTAACATTCAGTCTTTTTACAAGTAAACAATTGCTTTTCCTTCCTATTTGTTTACAGTATTTGCTATAATAGCGAAGAATACAGGTTTGAGCGATTTTGAAATAAATTACAAAGCCGATGTGCCGGGCCTACGCACGCGACGGTTTGGCGCGCGAGTTTTCAAACTTTTTGTAACGATCGAAATCGGTAGTTGCGCCTGATCGTAGGTAGTAGATAGTAGTTCGAAGGTTCAATCGTTAGTCCACACAAATCGAATCCCCTTGTTCTACAAAAAAATATTAGCAAGGACTGTGCTATCAGAAACGAAAACATCACGATAGTTCACTTTTTATTGTCTTCATGTGATATGTCGTTACATGGAAAGCTGGTCGCCGTCGCGTCGCGTTGGCTTCTAAGACTTTTCTGACCTTTTCTTTCTAAAATCGAACGATGTACTGGATGCGGTCCTTGGCACTGATCTTGGGGAACAGCGATGTTTTAAATTCCTATTAAGGCAGTTTGTATCCTTAAACAAAACGAAAATAATTTGTTCCATGACCGATCGGAAACCGTTCGTTGCCTGTGGTTTCTGTGGTGTGAAGATCTTACCTGTGATTGGTTGCAACACAATAAACATTCCAGACATATTTGAGGTGTTCACGCCAATATAATCACCGCTGTAAGTATGGGGTTGGTGAGCTGAAACATTTGAGAATGGGGTACAAAAGTGACTTATCCACGTGGCTGAAAATTCCCACCTCTAGACCCACCCCTAAATGTAGTAAACATTAAACTTGTATTTTGTGTTTGACAAAATCAAAATACCCAGCCTCTTACCTCCCTTCCCATAACGTAACTGTTTATGATAAGTTCCATGCGACACCAACTCTTTTTACATTGCAAGTGACCACCTCCCATAATCAACTAGGGATCCAAAAACATCAAAATTTTTCCAGTCAAAGACCTATAAAAAGAACTTCCTGTAAGGTACTCCCTCTTGTAATATCCTACACTACTCTTGCAGCATGTGTGATGTTTCGCATTTTTTCTAATATAGCAGCCGTGAATTCAATATAATAGAGCAGAACTTATTTGCCTATCAAGAAATCTCTCAAATTCATCTGAACTTGAGTTCCATTAAGAGAACAAAAGAAATAAAAAGCGATGATCATCTTTCTGCCATTAGCCCTTCCAAGGGTTAAATTTTTTGCTTAACTTGAATATGTTTTCTGGCAAAATAAGATCGAGCCTATAATAAAGGCGTTGACTAGTAAGGTGCGGTGGAAAACGTAGGCAGGAAAGTCTTGAACACGTAAGCAGGTAAGCAATGTCTGACACACTTCCACTTCAACTTTAACCAATTGCTGCTGAGTCAAAGTCACTAAATGAGGAAACTGGGCTACTCAATTGGTCCTGAGAAGAAACCACATTCTTTGACAATACAGCAGGGTACTAAGGTTACACCCTTGCTCCTGTTATTTCGTTATTGTGCTCAACTACTTTCTGCATCTGTTCCTCGACTGCCTAAATGAGTGGGGTCTACCGAATCAGCCTAGTCAGAGCAGAAGACAACCTATGCGAGATCTTCCCAAGCTTCGATTCGCAGACGACCTAGCACTTGTAGCAGGACTAGAAGAGGTTAGTAGAACTTGCTGTTCACAAATTAATTTCATTAGGTGCTTCTACTCATCATTGGGCAGGGAGACACTGATGAAAAGCCTGACCTTGAGCACGACCAAAATCTGAAGAATCTCCTCGATCGTTGCAGAGCGAGAAATATCAAGCTGAACAAGGAGAAGTTCAATTGAAGTGCAGTGAAGTGTCATTCACCGGGCATGTAATGACAGAGAATGGGCTTAAAGCAGATCCTAAAAAAGTCAAAGCAATAATTAAGATGGAGTGACTGGCAGAGATTCATTGGGCTTGTGAAGTATCTGTCTAAGTTCCTACAAGACCTATCAGAGCTGTGTGAGCCACTGTGCCATCTAACACATAAGAAAGCTGAGTAATATTGGACTCACGAAGAGGAAGATGCCTTTGAGAAGATTAAAGATGCTGTCTCCAAAGCGCCAGTACTCAAGTACTTCACTGAGAGTGACCCAAAAGAAGATGCATCTAGAGATGAACTTGGCTTTGTACTGATGCAGCTAGGCCAGCCAATGCAAGCAAAGCACCCACACTGGCAGAAAGGAAGTGCTCACAGATTTGAAACGAATTGCTGGCCCAGGTCTTCGGCATGGAACACAACCACTACCATGTGTATGTTCGGGAAGGTCATCCTCTGGACATATCACAAACTATTAGTCTCCACTTCGCAGAAGCCTCTGGCATCAGTTTTCAAGAGACTACAGCACCTACTGTTGCGGCTTCAACAATATGACTGTGAAATACTCTACAAGCCTGGCAAGGAGATGCTGCTAGCTGATACCCTGTCAAGAGCTTATTCAGAGGATTATGAGCGATCAGCCTCAAAATCAGAGGTGGAGTGCATAAATGCCACTCACTTCCTTCCTGTTCCAGACCACCAGCTTAACGAACTTCAGAGAGAGACAGCTTGTGATCCAGCTCTACAGTTTGTAAAGAAAGGAATCTTGGGTGGCTTCCCAGATACAAAGGATGAACAACCAGCAGCCATTCACCAGTACCGCATTTCCTTGAATAATAGCCTGGGGCAATTTATTTCTTTTTTTCGCACAAAAAGGGGGGCGATTATTTGAGGGAGGCGATTATTTCAAATATTGCTCACTGGAAGTCGTGTCCTAAATATGTATTTTGTTTTATTATTCCATTAAATCAAATAATAATCACATCAAATTAACTGAACATGCGCTTTTTTAGTGTTTCAATTTTAGTTCCTGGATTAATTTCCATAGCTTGAATCGTCACTGATCAGTTTTGCTGGATAACATTGCACTTACACTTGACAGGGAGGGGATAAAAGGAAGAGAAGATGGTGAGAGGGCAGGGGACAAGCGATTATTCAAGGGCCGATTATTTTAAGTATTTCCGTCAAAGGGGGGTGATAATTCGAGGAGGCTATTAATCGAGGGACAGCTATTATTCTAGGAAATACAGTACTTTGAAACATGAGATGAGCTCTCAGTACATGATGGTGTAATATTCAAGGGCCAGCGACGTATCATACTGCAGACCCTGAGGAAAAAGATCAAGCAGAAGCTACACGACTCCCATATTGGGTCGCAAGGCTGTTTATGCAGAGCACAGGAGACAGCATACTGGCCAGGAATGAATGCTGAAATCACTGAATACATCCAGAAATGTGACGTCTGTATGTCGCTTCAGAGTAATCAGACCAGAGAACCACTTATCTGTCACGAGCCAACATCAGGGCCGGCTGGGAGAAAGTTGCCAGTGATATCTTCACACTTGATGACAAGAATTATCTCTGCACAGTAGACTACTACTCTGGGTATTTCGAAGTGGATTAATAGTTACACAGTAAAACAGGAACTGTCATCATAAAGAAGCTTAAGAGACATTTTGTCACACATGGAACACCTAATGAATTGCTAAGTGGCAATTTGAGAACTTTTTGCGATCATCTGGGACTGAGCATGTAACCAGCTCCCAGGGCTACCCGCAAAGCAATTGACGAGTAGAAAACACAGTCAAGACTGCAAAGAGCTTAATCAAGAAAGCCAAAAGATCAGGAGCGGTTATTTTCTTTCTCTGCTAAGCTGAAGAAACACCCTAATGGAGGGGCTTAACACCTCGCCAGCTCAGCGTATTTTTGGGCGACGCACACGAACCCACCTTCAAGGAGCTCTTGCCATTGGTGAAAGGAGAGACAGTCAGAGTAATGCCACTTCCCCGTGACGAGAGCCAGACATGGTTCAAAACAGAAATAGAAGAACTAGCAGATATGCGATCCTATGACTTAAAGACAGAAGATGGGAGAATCCTCCGAAAAAACCAAAAACATCTCTGCAGGAGCAGAGAGCCATTCTACAGCTCACAACCTAGAGAGGCTGCTGTAGCCCTGCAACCCCCGGATTTAGCAGCCTCTCCAGAGAAACTCCAAGGACCTGAGCCAATAGAGGGTCAGTCATTCCCAACAGTGCCAGCTCGAGGAGACCTGTCTAAACAGCTGACCAAAACCCCTGTTTCACTATCTAGCAAGGCCCAACCTCTATGCACAACACTTAACAAGTCTCAGCTAGTTGAAAATAGGATCACTAGAGCTGCAGCCCGTTTCTCAAAAGGCGCGGTAACTTTTCGGGCCCGAAATCAAATATTCAAATCAAAATATAAAGAATAAGGGCACCGGTCCTGGCCAGCAAACTACTTCATTTTGTTTCACTAACTGACAGTTTTATGTTAGATGCAAAACTATTGAAACCTCTATCTTGCATGTAAACAACAAGAGCTTTAATTATCGGGGCGTTCGAGAAACGGGCCCCAGGTTGGTTGTCAAAGCCACCTGCCTATTTGAAGGACCATGCTTGACTACACCTGATGATTACAGGAGACAGTTAAAAAAATTGTTTTTTTTCTCTTTCTTTTTCTTGCTTAGACATTGAACACTTTGTCTTTTGAAACAGCTGACTTTCTTTGTTCAAAGTGTTCTGCGTTGAGTGCTTTGGCTGAAGTTGTTGGGCTTTCACTGGTTATTAAGTGCCCATTGTGCAATGAAGTTTTTTTTATTTTCATTTTTGTTAAAAAAAAGAAAGAAGGAAAGGTGTCATGGTAGGCTTGTGGTTGTAAGCCACGTGACCTAAAAAACAGGCGCTTTTGTAGTAGCTTTGAGGCGGCCATTAAAGATTGAGTTTGTCCTTATTAAGTGTTTGAGACTGCTGTTGTTACACTAATCATAAAATTTTGCAGAGTCTCTGAGAGCTTTGATGTTGTTGAGAATTTAATTACAACAAGTGTCCTCTGTGAAAAGTCAGTCTCCAGAAAAATGCATAATTTTCTTCCTGGTAGACCTTCTTTGTTGCATGTGACCACATGGAAATTTTGCAGTTTCCAAATACTTCTTGCACACAATCAACAGTAACCTAAGATCAGGCCAAATTTTAGCGGTTCTCATACATTCTCTCTAACGGCTACCGCTGAAATTGGGCCTGATACAAACTCTCTCACGTTTGTGCTCGTTACGGCCAGATTTTGGCCATAACGCTGATTGGCTGTTAGAACAATGCCACAAGATCTGATTGGCTGTCCGAAACGCCGGAAGTTGAAAGCGCTTATTCCTTGCGCGGTTGTTTTCGTGAATGATCCGTCATCGGCGGAGAGAAGGATCGACTTTGCTGTCTTTTTTATTGTTTTATGGTCTTATAGTGGGAAAATATGCCTTTATATGTGCCATGGAAATTCAGAAAATTCATATGGTTGTTCATATCTTCTCAGGATTTGCTTTATTTATGGAACTAATGTGAGTGTACCGCGGAGTTGAATCCCTCTGCAAGTTGTTGACCGCTAACAAGGTGCCTTTTGATTTACCAACAAACGAGTGCAAATCAAAATACCGTCCATCTAAAAACTGGTTTCATCTGAAAGTTTAGCCGGGAATGACTTCTCTGAACGGGGTACGCAAGCGGAGGCTCACTGCAAAAGAAACCACAATCGCCAACTGTGAAGTATTAGACAAAAAATATCGCATCACTGTTCAAGGAATTTTTGTAGGTAACAGACTGGTTGTTTGCCTTCGCTTTTTGTAAAATATAAACCAGGAAAACTGGTGTCCTCGCTCGTTGGCTGTTTGCTTTTGTTTTTAAAGATTTATGTACTGAAAGTCGGGGAAAATTGCCGAGGAAAATATTAAGGCAACAGAAAAATAGGAATTTCAGTATTTTAAATTCGAGCGCGCCAAGCCAAAATAATAAAACTAGTAGAACATCATTTTGCCGTCTTTTCAAAAACTTTTTACCTTCTACGTCAACAGAAATAACCTTCGAGATCTCCCTTACATGTAATTTCGCAAGAAGTTAAATGTGATTGTGCTGACTGTTTTATTTTTAGCTGAAAGAATAGACAGATAAAAGGTATTTTTTAACTCAGCCAGTCTGCATTTTTCCCATTCGTGAAAAATTTGTATACTCGAAAAACAAGCAACGGAAGTAATTTTAGTTGGCTGATTCGGCAAATGTCAATCAATCAAAAAAGTGGGCAGCAGATGTTTCGTGGAAGGTTTGTATCAGGCTCTCTTTTCATTTCGCCTTGCCCGCCGGAATGTAATTTTCCAAGCGAAACGAAAACAGAGCCTGATCTCAGGTTAAATCAACAGCCACCAAGATGTTTTATTAGGCTGGTACAAGATTTTGAGCGATAAATGATCTTACCATAACTTTATCTAGGAGTGAATGTTACTTTTCTCTGCTAATGCATTTTCATGCACACCACAAAAAAACAACATTTAAACAAAGGACAATATGTAACCACTAGTGCATTCCAGGGAAAATACATATCAATAAAGCTTACCAGCTAATCCAAGCCTTTGTTTGCTTCTTTTAATCCCTGGTTTTCTTTCATGCCTGTACAAAAAATGAAAATAAAAAGAAAATATAACTCAAGAATTGTTTTGGAGATTTATCTGGTGGATAGCGTTATCCACCTTTTGAACAACTGGGGCCAGAAGGTCATAGGTTCAACTCCTTGAATTCAGGAGTACTCAGATTTTTCTTTCGAGACAAATGTGTTACTCACTTCAAAACTCTTCCATATGGAGGGGGGCAAAAGGGGGATACTAACAGTTCCATAAACTAGCATTCAGGTGAGTGGAGACACACAGTCCAATACAAAGAGTGATGAGCGAGCAAAGATAAACACGTAATCAACATTTGTGCTCTTGTCGTACAAAAGGGGGATTATCCATTGAGAGCTTTGTAAACATAAGGAGCCCCAAAAGTAAAGATTGAAAAATTGAGTCGTAGTAATTATTAATTTAAAAAGATTATGTAAATTTTCTTTTTTTTGAAAGAAAATGAACATACAAAACAGCTTACCAAGTGTCAGGTCTGTGCAACATTTCATATTTGAGATATTCAGAAAAAACATTTTACCCAAATTTATAAAGGTTTCTATGGAGATGCCATGTTGGTTTTCCTTTTGAGGGGCGCAAATATGGCCACTGGAAAAACAACAGAAACATCTCAAATTTGAGTTTCCTACAAATGCGAGAATTCATCTCTTGAGGAACTCATAACGGTTAAAGTATAATATCTATTCTGTTTTGATACCAAAATTTCAAAAAATTGGTAGTATTTTTAACTGACATAAGAGCTTTCCCAGCCACAACCTAAATGCAGTGTCAAACAAAAGCCCGGAAATTCAAGTGTCCTCTGTTGCAAAACGAAGAACCCTTTTGAAACAAAAATTTGTATAAATGAAGGTGTTTGGGTGCTGTAATAGCTCATGAAAATAGGAAGTTTCTTAGTTTGAATTTTGGTGACGTCATGTGAAAACCAAGAATAGATTTTCTTCCAGCTTTACAAATAACTTTTAATAAAGATATGATCATTGCAGTGCAATTAAGTAATTGCAAAAAAACCCGAAAATGTTCTTTGAGAATAGAATGATCAACTTTTACTGAAAACTCTTTTCGCTTTGTTTTGGTAATCCCTTGCCCATGACATTGTGTTAGAAATAAGTAGGTAAGTTGAGTGTTCTGCCTTAAGTAATTTGAGAAATAATAATAATGATAGAAATGTGATGGTGAATTTTAAATCTGTTGAATACATGAGAAAGGTGGTTTTTTTCTTTAGTCAGTGACACAGGTGGCTCGCAGGAGTCAAAATAATGCCTGGTCAATGGACAATGTCCAGGCTGATTGGGGAGTTGACGGATCAACCTTTCATCTTGCCGGTCATGTTGACCTGTCACATTTGATTGTATTGAAAATGAAATAAATTGAAATTTCCATGCTGTTAAGTTGTTTCAGTTGTTATCAGGATGTAGCGAGTCGCTGTGCATTGCGGAACTTTGATCTGAAATTCTGGGTGAAATGCAACTAGAACCGTTGTTTACAATTCCCACATTGAAACAGACATCAGGGTTCATGCACCAGAAATCATCATAACTGGAGGCGCCAGACAAATTTAATGTGTATGATAATGATATTTAATGTGTTACGTGTTAGTCTTAACAGACAGTGACCTATTAACACACATTAGCTTATTTTCATTTCTCCGCTGTAATTACTTTTTATTGTTGACAATGAGTATTTTGAATATTGCTATAAGCTCTAAGCAATGACTTTTCTGGAAATATATAATGCCAGTTTTGTTTCATGGGACCCTGTTTTAAGAGTTATTTGGACTGGACTGAAATGGTACTTGACCGAGCTAAAATGAATTGGCCACTCATCGTGTCTGGAGACTCTCTGGAAATTATTTCGAGCCCTGGCTCGGTAAAAAAAATCTGAGTATTTCCAATAGTCGTCGAACCAATGACCTTTTGGTTACTAGTTCAGATGGTCTACCACTAAGTTACAGTTAAGTAGTCTCAGCTCCCACCTAACATTTGAGGTGGAGGTTGCATGCTTTGACGCTGCATCATACGATGAGGAAGAGTCTCAGCCTGAGCAAACCTCTGCCGCACCTGTGGTTGTTCGAGCTTGAGTTTGATATGCCGACAGAACGGTACTACACACTTCCTTTCTAAACAGCGCTTTGCATGATAACAACAAGGAGGAATAAGCCCTTGACAAATTCGGCATCCACCGCCCGTTTTTTGCCTGCAAGTTTTAGTGTGTTCCACAACACGCTTCATCTTGGCACAACTTGCAAGTTGACATTTGGGCTCTCTGCAGTGAGTGGCATGTTCTAAGGACGTTATGAAGCGTTGGATCTCCTGTCCACTAAGCTGTGGCTGTTCTATTACACCACCTTGCTCTTGTTGTTGATCTACATCCACGTCCAATTCAAACTTTCCCATCTTACGTTTATGACCTTTCTCGTTGTAGCAAGGCACACAGAGATCACAATCCTGGGAAAAAACAAACAAACCAACAAAATCACTTGCGTCATTCTCAATACCTACCAGTGGAAAGAATAAGGCAAATGGTTAGAGGGTTAGAATTGTGTACAACTCGTGAAGTCCCTTCCTAGTCTCCTCTATTAAATCTTTGGTCCAGAAAACCTCATCACTAACGACAGACTACTAGCTCTTGACAGATTTTGCAAAAAAAGATGAAAACCTCTTTTCGTTTCTTTCCCTGACAATGTTTGGCCTTGGCATTCTCTTTGAAAGCACTCCTCCACTTGCAAAGTTTTCAAAATGGTCACCCAAGGAAGTCAAAAGACTCGAACCAGTCCACTTCAAATGCAAGGCCCTCATTGCATTGTAGACCAAAAAATAAATTTGCGATACCGTGAAAAATAATTCTTGGCCCAATTAAAAAATAATTCTTGATACACATTGGAAAAATAATTCGAAGTACCACTGAAAAATAATTCATGGCGTGAATGAAAAAAGTATTCATATAATTAAAACAAAAATAACTCTTGTTGCTAAAAATAATTACTAACACGCTGAAAAAAGTATTGTTTAGTGATGACAAAAATACACAACATGTCCATAATATTTGCTGCATTTGGATTAAAACTGACTTGTGATGCAATTTTAATGTCATGATTTTGACCAGAACGGGCCTTCATAGTCTTCGTTTTCAAAATTACGAAAACTAAGACCCCTAAATTTACCGTTAAATTTGATCAAGACTCGGTGGAAGGAATCTGACAGAAGATAATTTGGCAGATTAGACCTATTTCGGTTATAATTTGACTTCATATTTCGACGGATTCGATTTTAGGGGCTCTTAGTTTTCGTAATCTCGAAAAATAAGACGGATCTTACTTCTTAGGTCTTAGTTTTCGTAACACCCTTTGCGGTTCGACGTTCAAACATAATTCGATTTAGACTGACGGTCGATTAAAGAAGTGGATTCTGGTTTATTTTTCCATTTAGAAATAGAAGAAATATCAATCAATGAAAATAAAAGAAATTTACGGTAACACTGTGTTATCTAGCAGCAAAGAGCAGTGAATTCTTACATTATGCACCTATCAATGTTAAGCTGCAGGGGGGGGAGGCCGGGCATAGGCGGGGGATTTGAACTCAGATCATTTTTTCTGTTCAAATGCCCGACCCCAGGGACGTTATCGCTGGTCAAAAGAGTGCAAATTCCCCATCCCCCTCCCCCTCCAGAAAAAGGTCAAGGCATTGGTCAAACAAGAATTAAAATAGGGATATACAGGAATTATAAAGTTGTAAAAAGCAAGAAGCAACAACTTCAAAATGTAACGTCCTTTTAATAGAAAAATGTCATGTAATTTATCTGGAAAGTATATAAAAATTTGAAGACTGTCTCAACTGATACTATTGAACAATACAGCAAAACAAGGAAATTCTGGTATCTTTAATATCATGAAATGTTATGCTACAGATAACTTTTATTTGAATTCACATCCGTTTATAACTCATGGCCATTATTCATATTTACATCACCAAGTAAGACTAGTTTATTTCAACTTCAGTCCGTAACACTTTTCTGATTTTTAATAGTACCAACAGACCTATGTCCTAAAGTAACTAAAAAATGGAACTGCATACTTTGTAAACAAACCAAGATGTGACATTTTGACTGGGTGATGTAATTATCTATACTGGCTTTTACATTTAATTACTTTAATTGTAAACAGGAACGATGGAAATGAAATATTTATAACCTCTGATTTGAAATAGAAAAATATTAAAACAGCCCCATAAGAGGACTTCTGATGTGAGATGTACATAGTTACTTGACATACTGCACATGGTGAGCCCATGAAGATGAAATTCAGTGTTTCAGTCTCGTGTATTAAACAATTGTATTAAAAAACAAAAAGAATATCGCAATATAATCAATCATGGCACTGATGACATAACAAAACGCAAAAAACGGCCCGATGGGCTCTTTAAGCGACAAAATTTCACAGATTTCTTACCTTCTTCACGGAAACCGAAGCAGCCTCCATTTTGATGTGTGCTGGTTACCAGGTCTCAGTGCGCCGAAAATCCAAGATGGCGTCGGTGGAGCTCAGGCCACTAACGGTTAAAGTCAAAAGTCCCGACCCCCGGGACTCGACGAATGATCAAAAGTCCCTGCCACGGGCAGACTTGTTACGTCAAATCCCCCGCCTACACCCGGCCTCCCCCCGCTGCGGCTTAACATTGATAGGTGCATTAGTTCTTCTTGCAAACTTACGGCCGCCATTTTGAATCAGCAGCCATGAATGGAACTTGTTTTCAAGATCCAATAGGATTTATCAAATTTAGCATTTCGCCCGAATTAGTGCCTGGTTTAATGGATAAAGACGTGATCCACAAGATTTTTGTATCATTACGTGGGATAAAACAAGAATTATACGCTAAAAGCTTTCAAGTAAATGACATACGTGAACACCTACCTCCACAGTTGAAAACGTACGTCACAAACCTCAAACGGGATAGTACTTGGTGTAAGACTGCACAAAATGTCCCGAGCCACCGCCAATCACAGACTATGTTGTGTACGATACCCCAAAATTCTTCTCGTACCCAATCTCCCAACTGGTAAGTGGACTTCTTGCAAATCACAAGCGAAAAGCTATGGCCTTAGAAATGAGCCATATTGTAGACCTCCCATCATTTCCTCAATCTATAGACCTCCTAGAGCACTAGCCTGTTCCAGGCGTTCAGATAGTAGAGCGCGGGAGAAAAATTTACGAAGAAAAAAAAACGAGGGGAGACTAGAGAGGCAAAGGGGGAGAAACGCGTTTTCTCGCTCTGACGGCTACCTGGAGTCGTTTCTCGGCAGCCCCAGATTTCGACTTCTCGCCCTATTGTAGTTGCCTTCAGTCAGTTGGGGTTTTCAATGTTTCATTTACAACAGTCTTCATTTAGCCGAGCGCGAAGAAGACGCAGTTGACCACGAGAACAGGCGGTATACATTCCTTGAATGGAAAGAGGCAAAGGTTGTTCTGTTTGGGTTCGTTTGAGGGGGTCTGTTAATGGCTGCTAAAATCGACTTATACACGTTATTTTAAGCAAGGCGGTTAACACAAAAGTACACTCTATCAATTGCCAGGAACGACGCTAGTCAATAAGTCGCGATTGCTCTTTCAAATAAGGGCTTTAATTTTATTTACAAATTGATAACAAGGCTAATAAGCACACAAACGTTGTGAAAAGTGCACACATTTATTGGTACACAAGCATGTTTGGACAAATATATATGCCTCGTAAGAATGTGCGCTTTATACAGTGCCTCTTGACTGAAGACGTTCAAAAAAACTCTAAAACTAAAATTCCGTGTAGTGTCTTTCCTTTCTGACTTTTTGGAAGGATCGATTCCCTCATAAGCTGATATTTATCAGCTAAACAGCTATACAAATTAATTATATAATAATGGTATGAATGGTACAAAATTTCGTCATCTTGATTATCACGGCGATAAAACTACATATAAAGTTCGTTCCATAAAGTACATTTTCTCTTTTCTTACTTTAAAATTCTTTTTTTGTGTGTGTCTCGGGGTTTTTCTTTTTTTATTATAAATTTTCGACATATTTAGTCAACTGATCCTGAGGCGTCAGCGGAGAATCTTCCTGACCAATTGATAGGTCGGGGTCGGTTTGGGTCTGGATCGGAGGAAGAGATATTCTCGCCGTACTAAACAGCGGTTTATCCATTAATTGGCTGTCCATTTGAGGCGTGGCCGCTTGGTGAGGTGAGGGTATGGGTCGAGGGGACGTGAGGGTTGTTTGTTGTGGATGCGGTGACATGGTGGGCTGCTGTCGAGGTGACGCTCCCGTTGTATGTGGTTGTGGAGACATGACTGGTCGAGGTGACTGTGAAGGGTGTATGCCCTGTTGTGGTGACATTGGGTTAGCCGATTGTGGAGACATGAGATGTGAAGCAAACTGTGGCTGTTTAGCCTGAAAGTGCTGCGGTAGGGATGACTGTGTTTGGCCGTTGTGTGGATGCACCATCCCCGCTTGTGAGTTGGTCAGTTGACTTTGAACCTGGCCCCTTCTCATTGCATTCATTTGAGAAAAAGGAGAGACCTGTGGCTGTTGGAACATATTTTGCTGCTGCTGTTGTTGTTGTTGCGCTTGCTGCTGTTGTTGTTGTTGCTGCTGAAGTATTCTTAGCCACTGTTGCTGTTGACTGACAGTGGCTTGAGACACTATTGGCATTTGTTGCATAGGATTCTGCATGGCATGCTGCATATTCTGTGAAACGCCACTTGGCATGCCTGGGTGCATTCCCTGCTGCATGGGGTTCTGCATTGCTTGTTGCATACCCTGCATTCCCTGTGGTACATTTTGTTGCAATGCCTGTTGCTGCATTCCTTGGATGTTGTGCTGCATAGCCTGTTGTATGTTGGGTTGCATAGGTTGTTGCATTCCCTGTTGCATTCCTTGCTGCATGTTTTGCTGCATGCTTTGTTGCATCCCTTGTTGCATACCAGGAGGCATTCCCTGCTGTTGCTGCTGTTGTTGTTGCTGTCCATATTGTCGCTGTTTAACAAGCGCTTGCATCAACTGAGGATGTTGCTTCAGAATTTGAAACACTTTAGCCTGCTGCTGAGGGCTACTTGGACTCTTCAACGTTTGCAACAACTGCTGCAGCGGAAGTGGTACGTTAGGTCTGTTCTGCTGGGGTACAACAGATGGGACCCCTTGTTGGCCGGGCTGCATTTGAGGGAACTGTTGCTGCACACCAGGCATCATTGCATTGGGGTGGTTTATTTGCTGTTTTTGGAACCACTCGTAAGTGGCCTGATTCATGCCAGGATTGCTTGGCGCTCCAGTCGTTGGTTGCATTTGTTGTGGAATAGGCTGCTGCATAGCCTGGGGCATGTTCTGTGGTAGCATTCCCTGAGGAGGCATCCCTTGGGCTAGGTTCTGCCCCATATTCGGTTGCATTAGAGCTGGATTCTGTTGCCTCATTGAAGGTGGTGCCATTGGTCTAGATGGTCCCATATTCGGAGGCTGCTGCTGTGCAAAGCCCTGTTGAGGTAACGATACATTACGCCCTTGCATTCCCATAGGCATAGCTTGCATAGTAGCAGCCTGTGCGATCTTCTGGGCAGCTTCCACTGCACGTGGGGGAGGGCCATTCATAACAGGTTTCTGAGGCATGGCAGGTGGCTGGTAAGGAGGTGGCTGCTGGGGATGCTGTAGTGCTGGATGAGACTGTCCCATGTTTCCAGCACCGGCCATGTTAGGAGGCATGGGTTGACCTGGCATTTGAGGTGGAGGTTGCATGCTTTGACGCTGCATCATGGCCATACGACGACGAAGAGTCTGAGACTGAGCAAGCCTCTGCTGCGTCTGTTGTTGTCTGAGCTTGAGTTTGATATGCCGACAGAACGGTACTACACACTCCCTTTCTAAACAGTGCTTTGCGTGATAACAGCAAAGATGAATAAGCTCTTGACAAATTCGGCATCCACCGCCCGTTTTTCGCTTGCAAGTTTTAGTGTGTTCCACAACACGCTTCATCTTGGCACAACTTGCAAGTTGACATGCGGGGTCTCTGCAGTGAGTAGCATGCACTAAGCTCTGTATGCAGCGCTGGATCTTTAATCTTCGTTCCTCCTGTGCACTAAGCTGTGGCCGTTCTTTTTCACCACCTTGCTCTTGTTGTTGATCTACATCCAAGTCCAATTCAAGCTTTTCCATCTTACGTTTATGACCTTTCTCGTTGTAGCAAGGCACACAGAGGTCATAATCCTGGGAAAAAAAAAACAAACAAACCAACAAAATCACTTGCGTCATTCTCAATACCTAGCAGTGGAAAGAATAAGGCGAATGATCGATGGCAAATATTGAAACGTTTAGATGTTCAAACTGGGTTCAAAATGTCATTGTCTACCAAATTGTTGGAGCCTAAACATCTATTTCGACGCTTTTCAGTGTACACAATGTTTACACAACAAATGCAGTTGGGACATACTAATAAATACACAAAATGCTTTTTGCAGCTTGCAAGTCAGTTTATGTGCACAAAGTATTATCATTCTACGTTCAGTTTCTATTCTAAGAGTACCAGCATCACAAACCCGTAGCCACATACTGGCAGCGTGAAGTTTCTATCAACAAGCAACTGGACTACCAGTATTAAAAATTCACATTTTAACAGAATTGTGGATAGCTGGAACTGTCTCCCGTGCTAAGTTCGCTTTAGTCACGATTTACACTCATTTAGGCGTGGTGTTGCGGGGTATTTGGGCTGGCTTGGTGATCTTGAGTCTGTCGATGGAACTGCCGCATCTAGTTGATTTGTCACACTGCGCTTGAATATTTTGTATTTTTAATTGTATATAGGACATAATATTAATATTAACAAATATTTTTATGTAGATAGTATCGATGGTGTTGTGTCTTGTATTGGGTCTCTGACTCTTTTTCGCAACTCCAATGGCTTTTTTTCCCCTCTTTTTTACATTTTATTGTTATTATTATTTCTTTTTTTCTTTTTTTTTTATTATTATCATTAGTTGCCATGAATTGAAATAAAAATAAACGAAAGGATGTTTGTCATCCAACGGTAGTAATAAGCCTTGCTTCGATTCATTATTAGACTGAACCCTAACACTGAACCCTACTTACGTCGCATTCGTTACAGTGATATCGTGTTTCCACGGGTCTTCTGCATATGTTGCACGTGTAGACAAACCGGTCCTGGCCTTGATTATGCAGCTCAACCAACATAGCCATGGTAGAAAACACGGCTCTTCGAAGCGATGAGAACTCATAATGCTTCTCACGAGCAAGTGTCAAGAATGCATCTCTGCCATCCATGATGTCACAGCTCATTAAGCCATCGGGGTCACTAGTCTCGGGAGTCTTACGGCCATTTAATTGAATAACAAAGAACACCTGCAAGTGAGACAAACAGAGTATTATTAGCGAAAAACGAATTACTTAAGAAAGTGCTACTTATTCATTTATGACACTGGAGGTACGTCTAAAAGATATATTCTTTCATTCATAAAACCCATCACAACAGTCCAACAAGCACAATAATTACTGTACCAAATCCACAAGTATAGTCCTTTTATCAAATGTCATTAACATGCAGCCAGCCCTCCATTGATGCATAATGATCAAAATGAAATAGCCATACCATAACAAATCTGAGCAAAATTCGTGAGAAATACCGCACATGACATATTCAAACAACCCACAGAAAGAGAACTTGTGATTAAAATTGCAAATTTACAAATCTCACCTCTCTGTGTTTCTCCATAGTACTGTACAATCTTTGTGATAAATCACACAACCCATTGACTGAACCGTTAGGCTTCTTTGGGTTCTTACGGTTGCTTGCTTTGCTTTTTGTGCCCTTTTTGTTGTTACTACGTTTGTTGCTCCCCTTATTCTTGCTTCCTGGTGTTCCCTATAAGTAGAGAGTTTAATTTTAATAAAATATATTCCTGAAAAAGCGTATTGTCTTGGTGATAATAATTTGGTTGAACCATGCACAGAGGCCACTTTAGTTTCAAGCTACTTTCAAGCATTTATCCTATTATACCACTACACTAGGTATACCTATCGATAGAGTGCCAACGAGCAAATCATGCGTATTTTGCTTAGGAAAAAAATTCCTTTTTTTCCCATTTGACTGTTTCTTGGTCCCTTCCTGTTGCAAGGATTATTTTCTTGAAAAGTTCTCAGATTCAGTCTGGTGGCTTTACAAACCTGTTATGTAAAAGTGTGAAGTGCCTTGAAAGAATAAAGTCAGCTTTGCAGAGGGAGCGATCGGGAATATTATTAAGTCCAGCTACAAATCCACTGTCGGTTCGGTTTCACATTGTTGATAAATATTTGCACAGTTTAATCATTTAAACCTCATTTTAAATTTCCCGAGGCTTTTTGTTATCGGATTGAAACTTAGAATGATTCGCTGGGCCATCTGAAATGTTTCCAAGGACATGCGATGTACGGCACGTCGATATTTAATTTAATACTGAACTCGGCCACGTTTCGAAAAAAATGGCGTTGTTTTCTTTTCCTTTGTCGTTCGCTTTAGGCTTGTAATGCGTTTTTTTTCTCATTGTTTTTGTTTGCTGGTTAGATTTTTTCCCCAACACCAGATTTTCCAACAGAAGCGACTCCATTCTTCGTGTCAAGCTTTCCTTATCTCCTCGTGTAATCTGATCCTTTTTGGTGGTGAGAATATTGCTTGCTGCACATAGAGCACTTTTGCTGTCTTACAAACTTCTCTTCGTTAAAACTTAACATTATGGCCCCTACAATTAATAGAATACATCAAGTGCTCATGTCTCTTGACTGCGGTGGCCGGGTTTGACGAAAAAATTTAGGTTAATAAAGACAGGAAGTCGCGACGGCGGGAAGTGTGTGAAATTTTGTTTGTTATTCAACTTGAGCCCGTGCGCCAGGTACTGCCTTTTGATTGGTTCACAACTGACCACTTGGTCTCAGCGGAATCTACATTACATTAGGTTACACTTCTTTCAGCTCGATCGAGAATTTTTCTGCCTATTGCCCAGTCTTACGAGGCTCTATTCTGCTGCCGCCTCGCCATCCGAGCGTCTTCGCTCGGATGGCTCGTTGGCAATTAGAAATTTCTGCAATTTGATTGGCTTAGAGCAGTGGTATTTCAACTTAATTTGAAATACCTACATGTGAAAATTACAAACCTTTTGCAGGCAGTAGTATAAACAAATAATAGCATGATTTGTACGTAATATTTGGCATAAATACCACTCGTGATATTTCAAAATTGTTATTCGTAATTTGAGACAATTTTGAAATATCACGAGTGGTATTTATACCAAATATCACTACAAATCATGCTATTACCTACACTAAAAAACTTATAAGCAATCACACATAACATCCATGAAAACCCAGGAGAAGTTTCCTTCTGCCAAAGTCATTACTTGCAGCATTCAAAATAAACTTCTAAACACAAACAATGGTAACAGTCAACTTGAGAGCAATTTACTTCAAATAATTTCACTAACGCCTCTGTAAGTAAGTAAAGCATTTATTTATACATCACAAGATTACAGAAACGCTGATGTGCTCGTATGAAAAATTAGAAGGTGGCAAAAACTATTTATAAAATTAAGAATTAAAAATATAAAAGCTGAAAAGGGATTAAAAACTACCAATAGTTCTTAAAAAATGACAATGCATAACATCCAGAAGGCAATTTCTTAACAGAGTGTTTAAAATTTTCTAAAAAAGTAATTTTTCCCATATCATCATCTGAACTGTTCCACAGGTAAGCACTCATATATTCAACGAACTTCTTGACCAACTCTGTCTTTGGGGTGGCATGTTGAAAAATAATTAATTCCTTAAACTGTATTTGGTTTCACGCTTAACTAATAAGTCGTTTTGTGGGGAAGGCATGTGCCCTGTTAGTTGTTATAAACTCTACCAGAATCAAATGTGAGATCTATACCTCTTTACTGGCAGTCTCCGCTGCAGCAGCAGCAGCAGCTGTTTTTCTTTCTTCCTCTTCTTGGTCAAGCTCTTTGATGCTGTCTTCCAAAGCATTTGGCCAGAAGTCTCCATCAAAGTATGGTAATTCTTTGGCGGTTTTCAATCCATCATCATTAGCTTGTCTAAGAATGTCCTACAAAAGGAATGACAATACTTAGCAAATAAAGCTTTGGCAGTCAATCTTAGAAACATGCCTTCAGAGGCCTGCAAGAAGATTCCTTTCTGAACACTCAGCAGACAATGTCCAACCAGAATGGTAACTTGACTGGCCAACAACTTCACTCGCTGCTTATGTTGACCGATCACCCACACTCTCATTCTTAAAAAAATAACAAAATCCTCAACTGTAAATCTTAGATTTGTCTCTGTAAAAATACAATCACGTTCACAAATAGAAAATTGCGCACAGGCTACACACCTTTTTTCCAACCTGATATTTTGACCGGTCAGAAATAAGAGTAAAAATTTATTTTGCCGGTCATCGTGTCTGACCACCATCAGAAAGTTACTTTGAGCTTTGACACCTTTTCATGAATTGAAACTACAGGCATACACAGGAATCCACCAGAATGATAAAACAAAACATTAAGTTCTGACACTCAATGGGGAGGTCAAGAACTGAGGATGACCATAGCAGATCACTTAAAAAGCGCATTTAAGTCCTCCATAATATGTGAAATTAGACATTTTTACATGCAGTGAAGACAAAGAAATGTACAAAAAAGTATGAAGCACATGCAGAGTTGTTGTTTTGCTTATTAAACCTTTTGATTTTCATATGTTATCATTGCCGTTGCTATTGTCCGATCTTAATTTCCCTAATGTATGATATGCCAACTCATCATGTCCAACCTGAAGCAGGACTTTCTAAAACAACGGACAACTTTGCAACAGAAAATGGTTCCAGTCAACTCTCATCTTGTGGACACCCTGATAATAAGGACACTGGCTAAATCTCAGGCAAAAATAAATTGCTGGCATTTGACAGAAATAAACTCCTGCTATTACGTACCCTTACTAATGAGGACACTAACTCACGTCCCTACAGTGAGAGAAATAGCTGACTGTACATGCAGCTTTGGAATTCACTTTACAGTGCTTACCTTGTACTCGATGACAACATGATCTTTGACAGCCAAATCAAGCATCTTCTTGTACCATTCCACAAGGCGTTTGTGTTTAGGAATTTTCTGCTCAACGGGATGGCAATGAAAAATGTAGTCATCTCCTTCACTAGGTGGACAAGCCCATATGTGAGCCATCTGATATCTGTAACAAGGTAATTTAATGAAATTCATATCAGAATTGTTGAAAATGGTTCACTGAGTATGTCAGAGAATCTAATAATCGATCTGTGCTATAGCAATACCGATTGATTAGTGCCTTTCAGCGATAATTGTGAATCATAAAATAAAACAAAATTTATCAATACTGGTAATAGGACCGAGAGGAGTGAAATTTGTATAGGTAATAGCATGATTTGTAGTGATATTGGAAAAGGTTTGTAATTTTCACATGTAGGTATTTCAAATTAAGCTGAAATACCACTGCTCTAAGCCAATCAAATTGCAGAAATTTCTCATGTAGTAGTACACGGTCTGTAATCATACACGTGATCAACAAAATCCGATGACCACATGGTGGGAATCTGATTTGTTTACTCACGGGTGTGATTGCAGACCAAATTAGACAATACAAAGTTCTGTTACAAGTTTATCACAACTTAAGCTTAAGCTTCAAACATCCTCTAAGATCAGAGATCCTCTAAGATTTTTTGCTAGAAGGAAAATAAAAAATTATTGATGTGTGCACAAAGAATGGCATGTACTCTCTAATTTTTTAGGAGTAATGCATACTGTCTGATTGATGGTAAAATCAGGGCTGCTGATAGCCAATCAGATTAGATGATTTTGTTATATAGTTATGATTAATTAACATAATCTCCAAGTGACAATTCTTAGCAAACCGGTTAGCAGCTACATCATGGCAACAACAGTTTCACAATTTCCATTTGATCTGGCCATAGTTACATCATATGACTGCTTAAACTAAAACAGAAAGAGCAATTACCCTTGTTGTCCAACATGTTCTAAGTAACCAATGAGGATCTCATGGTAGATGGAGGTACGTAAGTGACGGGGCTGGAAAAAATGAACACTGTCCAGGTAAGAGATGTAAACTCTGCGTGTGTTTGGTTGTGGACACTCTGAGCCATATTCCTGTACATGCATTCCAAAGAAACACACATCCACTCCATCAATCTCTTCAAAAGCAAACATGGCTTTTGCACGGTATGGAAAGGAATCAGGAAACGTTCCTCCATCATACCTAACAACACAAACCAAAACACCATGTTGATTTAAAAACATCTTTCTCAAATGGAATATCCTGGGTGGCCACACGGCAAGCCACCTCACAGTTATGACATTCGTCCCCGATGCAAAATGTAGAAGGTTGTTGTGTCTTTTGTAGAAGGAAGTCTTTGAAGGGGAGTTGAATCGAATGTTACCATATTAAAATATCAAGAAATAAAATCAGTTAACCACCATAATCATAGAGGTTCAATGAGTGCCTGGTATGTCTGGGGGGTCTTGTTGCGCTGGAAAGTCCCTAGCCTGTGCCAGGCTCTCAGATAGTATAGTGTGGACGTAATAAAACGAGCAAAGCGAAAATAAGACGCGCGACTTGGGAAAGGGGGCGGTGGTGACGAGAAAAATGGGAGAGAGAGCCTGTTAGCATTTCTTCAACGACCCTCTTCCGCCCATTTTTGTCACGTCTGGATTCGGCTGTCAAAACTGTTAACCCTTCAGTTAGCTACAATCATTCTCAAGTTTCTTGTGCGAGCATTTCGTGTGACGCAAACTCCTTGTGCGAATGTGTGGAAATTTATGTCTTTGAATTCGTTATCCTGTGAGAGCATCCGGTTTTTTCGGCTCTTGTTTAGTTTCACCCGCCGAAGTGACGACCAGAAATACATCTGCTGTTTGCAGGCTACGAATTCGTCAATGGTGTCCGTGAATATAGCACTTGATCATTCAAAGTGCTGCAGGTTTTATAGTAATAAAAGGGGGCGGTAAGTTTTTTCCTGTTGGGTAGGTTATGCTCTGGAAGGTTCTGCATTTTCACTGAGCAAATGTGATTTTAGCCGCTTGTTTCACACTGAGAGGTCATGGCACACATATCGGTTTACTGTGGCTTTTGTTTCTAGTCAGCAGGATTTGCCCTCTGATGAAAGAGCATTTTCTTTGACTTCTTTTGAACGTAAAGCTTTTCATTGCGGCTGAATGAGGGTTTTAATTTTCTCCAAAGTGCCTTCTAGATCTGACTAACTAAGTGATTTTCTTTAGTCCGTGAATGTAATGTTTTTCTGTAATGTTGTATCACGCTGGGCCAAGCTCGTTAGTTTTCTTTGCAGAATGTTAAATTATCACGGATAGCGATTTACACATCCAGAATTATAAGTATGAAGTACAGCTTAAACTTAAGCTACATCAACTAAGGAGAATTGCATTGTGACTCAGTAAACTCCAGCTTAGTGTGTCTCTTATAATGGTGTGAGTCTTTTGACTGGAGCGCAGTCTGACTGGAGCGTGTAGTTTCTCCCTTGGTAATAGCTTTTTAAAGCTTAACAGTCTTTGGACTGTTTTGTTATTGCTACTTTGTGATCAGCCAGGACTCCGGACTACCGAAAACAATTTCGCACTTTCCTTCTCTCGCTTTCTTCTCGTCCTCCTCTCCCTCTTCACCGATGCCAATAGCTATGGCCGAAAGTCCAAGCTTTTTAAATTCAGTGTTCCACTTGGTCTCGCATTATAGATATCAGCGGTGAAACAACTATTATCGTAGAGTTTTCTAAGATTAAACTTTTCTAAGATTAAACTTGTGCCGAAACTGGTGCGCATAAAAGCGAAAACATCTTTACCGCGAGCCAAGTCGCAGAAAAAAAAATAACGCCTGATCTAAGGTTAACACTTGTCCAAAGCACAAGATAATGCGGATTCATCAAGATCACACGCACGATTCGCGTTGGCCATCTTGGTGATGACAAACTGATGACCACGCTACTAGGTGATGATGTTGACTGTCACAATTGACCAATCACAGGGTATATCAGGAGCTGATATACCGGAACAGGCCATTAAAAAAATGCGTACAGGCTCCGCCACCCAGTCTCTCCCCAGCCCCTGTGCATTTTTCGCATTTCATTTTACTGAACGACTTTTCACCACTATCTCGGAGCTAGAAAGTCCCAGAATCTAAGCCACGAACCCAACACATCTTTCAGGCAGTTACCAAGGACTTAGAAATCGGAAAAACAAGGAAAATGGGGAAGGTGATATAGGAAGATGGCTTACAAGTCTAACAATACTGCAATGAGCTTGCACTGATGATTTCTAAAATTGACCAAGTAAGTTCTTTTTTTCAATTTGTACAAACCGTGACTTCATTCCTGCTTTGACGTCCACTTGCTTGTCACAGGAGGAAACAACTCTTATGGTCACATTTCCTGGATAATTCTCCTTGATCAAGAAGTTATTCACTCTTTTCTCAATGAGATCACCAAGTTTGGTTGTTGGCAGTTCTAAGTGGGGAAATTATGTGAAAATTATTAGTGGGGTTTCCCAGAAACATGACGTTATCGTCATCATTATTTTGTATTTTGAGAGAGACATTCCTACTTAATGGACAACCTCTCACTACCCACAGCTGATACTACTTGACATTTTTCTTGGTCCTGGTTTAAGTTCTAAAACATATTGTCACAAATTAGATCGCTCAATACAGACAAATGAGCAATTTAACAAATTCTTAATGCCTAAAACCTTTAGTCAAGCTGCAACAGATTATATCATAAGTTTCATTACAAGAAAACTATTAACCTTCTAATGACTTTATTTTATAAACGTCTCTTGGGGATCGTATAGGTCTACTTACTTTATTCCCCTTACAAAGGGTACTCAGGATCCACGAAGCATTTATTTAAGAGGTTTTCACTACATTTAATGTACTATTCCTTTTGTAAATCTGGGAATGGCAGCTTAAAGGGACAGGTTCACGGTTCAGCACATGCTCATAAATTAATTTACGTTTCTCCAATTTATTATTCATTCCGTTGGTTAATAATCCCATTCACATGCATCTTAGCAATCTCAGAGTGTATTTCAAAGTAGAAGTGTATTTCAGAGTAACCTGAGGTGGGATGGAGGAGTATTAAAATCGCAGAAAAATTAGTGGATTATGCCAACACTACCAACGTTGAATTTATTGATGACCCGAAGGTTTTATTCCATAGTGGATTAATTTACAGCTAATTGCACCTAAGTTGATAAAGCCATTCCTCAGCTTCTAGTAAAAGCAAAAACAAACTTACATAGTGAACACTGAAAAGTGCACTTACTCTTTGCAGTAAACCGGTTTTCTTTCCTCTTCATCCCCCTCCTTTTCAAGCATCCATCACACTGATATCTGCAATAGGTAGTAAATTACATACCAAAAGTTAGCAGCTTGTAAAGTATCAGTATTCTCAGTTTGCAAACGTAGAAACCACGGGGGCAAAGTCAGGTGTCTGAAATTACAGAGCTACCCATATTATAGAAGTAGTGTAACTCTGACACCAAAAACAACCATGCATAACCCTTTAGGTTCCAACAGTGACCAACAGCAATTTTCTCCTAACAATGTCCATACATTGTCAAGAGATAAGGTTGTGAGAATATAAAAAATGATCACGAAAGAGAAAATGCCTTGATGTTTTATTAAATTCTCTCAACTAATTCTTAAAGGAAATGTATGGAGATCAGTTTGGAGAATTTGTATGTGGATACTGGGGCTTAAAGGGATAATAGAGACAAACCTGAGTACTACAAAGTTTAGAAAAGAGGAAAACAAGCCCAGATTTATTAGCTTTGGCTAACTGCGTCACTGACCACTCTATAGAAATCTGTCTGCTCCAGTGACATTAATTTTACTACCTACCTTTTTCATAAAAAATATTACGAAGATAACTCACAAAATGAGGGCAATCTCAAACTGCACTCTACTCACCCTTGTGGCCAAATGTAATCATGATGGCGTACACAGATTTGATGGACTTTTCGTCCACAATCCATACAATCCACAAATCTGCAAGAGACAATCAAAAGGTGTTAAGTAAAAGATCAATTTATAAGACAATTCACTGACTTGTCATGACAACAAAACCACCATTTTAACTTTATCATTTCTTTTCATAGATCTTCTGTTACAGTAAGTTGAACTGATTTTCATTCAGCTCACATCCACATCATCGACTGCAGCTGCTGTTCAGATAGACTACTTATTACAAGGCTGTGCTCAAAGAAAAATTGTGGGAGGCCTAAAGGCTCTGCCCAATGAAATCCAGTGTGCCAAGATCCAGAAATACAGCATTTCCACATGAGGTAACAGCAATCACATAAATGTTTCAAAACTATGAAAATGCTGGCAAGATATGATATGGCACTAAGCCAATCCTGTAGGAGTTGAACTTTTTAATGCAAGCACTTTCTATTTTTCCAATACATAGCATACACACTGGTAATGTGAGTGAAAGACAAAAACTGTTAAGATTTCCTCCTTGTCCAAGAGGGTCAATTTGCAAGAAGACATGCCAGGTACTACTAGATCACATATACAATCACAAAAATTGAGGATACTTACGGCTCCATGTCAAGATGATCATTTTTGTTCTTATTGAAGTCTTGTTTAGGAACCGAGCTGAAATAAGAATTAAAACGTTAGTATGAGAGTGGACCACAGACCACAGCTGTCTGCCTCTGTCACACATCTTACACTTTTAGCCTTGTTTTTCAGTAACAATACACTATGTGCATATTCTTTTAATTCACTGTTATCTAAACTTCCTCAGCAACTTAAAATAACTATAGATAACATGACAGTCATTACACCTTTCTTAATCACTACCAACAGTGTACAAAGAAAGAGGTGTCCGAAAGCCTGGGGCCCAAGTTTTACCTTTGCATCAGTGTAGGGTCCTCCCCAAGATTGACTGAATCACCAGGAATCTCATCAAAGCATCTCTCACAATAGTGAAACCTGTAAACACATGATCAGCAAATACAGCAATGCATGGTAACTAATATAAATGAAAAACTAAGTGACCGGTATAAAATATTCTACTCTGATAGCAATGTAGAATGGTCTAAAATGTAGACACCCCCTGATGAGCGTAAAAATAAAAATAAATGAAGGGAATTTAGCAGAGGTATATCCTTGAAGTGGCTCTTCTTCTACTATATTCCAGATTTAAGTGAAATTTTTGAAAAGATAGCTTATAAGGAGAGAGAAAAACTGGATGTGCCTGGGAAAAACTCCTTGGAGCAAAGTAAAGAGCCAATAACAAACTCAACCCACATAAGGTGTTATGTCACTGGAATTTAAACCTGGGAGAAAATGGTGAGAGGAAAGTGACCATGCCACTGCACTCCTCTTACTCCCATAAATCCCTTCAGTGTCAAGAGTTATCCACATCAATCTTCTCCTTACAATATCAATACATGGTCAAGATCAAGGGTAAGGACAATTAAGATCATGATCAAGATCAAAGGTAAGGAGAATTAAGATAATGATCAACTCAGGAAAATTCTTTTATCTTTTTTTCAAAGAAATGTATAGAGATAGGTCTGGAGCATTTGTATGTGTATAAAGGGACTTGAATGATTAAGAAAAAGCAGTGCTGTCTGTAGCATTGCCATAAGAAGACTGCTGATAACGTCAAGTATCTACCATGTAATAGTGCACGGAAATGAACAAAATCATACCGGTTTTGATAAGTCCAGTAAGAGGCATCTCTTGGAATAGTACACAAGTGCTTCCCATAGCAACAGAGCACTTGAGGATTAAATATATACTGAAAACGACAAGAAGTAATACATCAGTCTTCTGCAGCAATAAGCCAATAAAGTTTTAAAACAAAACACAAAAATGCCATGGCAGCATCTGTACCTTTCTTCCACAACAATAACCTAAACTTTTCATTACAGGATCAATTTCTTGTTCAAAGACCTCAGACAGCTGTGGGTAAAGAAGGATGCAAAAAATTAATATCTTTATTTAACTCTAACTGTTATCTAATCAATATTGAAGTCTTTTGAGAAGCACATCCACAGAAACAAGTTTTACCTTTGTACAATATTTATATACTCTTGAGGTTTTCCTATTATACAACCACGCATTATCAAACATGAGCCAGACATCGTCACAGTACTGCAAAAAAGGAACATAACGTTAGCAAATACTCTTCACTTCTCTTACCAAAACTAGTAATGAGAACACAAATGAACAAATGAGTGAGTGTCCCTTTCATTTTCATTCATGCAAGGCAAACTAAGGATCTTTGAACCACAGTGGGAACCAAACCAAGCATTAAGGAGGTAAGTCAAGGAAAAGAGTTTCACTTAAGCAATAGAAAAGATTTTCTCTGTTTGTATAGCCCAATATAAACACAAGAGGGGTTGGGAGAATTCAAGACAGTTATGAAAACTCAAGACAAAGTTAAGGGTTTGCAAAACAAATACAGGAAAAAAGTTTTCTATTGCATTTATAAACTTTCCCCAGAAAAAACGCAAAACTCTTTTTCATGGCACTGATTAAAAGAGAAATTCTTACCAGTCTGAAGTCTTGTAGATGAAGTCTTGCATGCATTATCAGTTCTTGTTTTGCGAAAAAGATACTTTCCAAAATACCGATTTTTCTCACTTAAAATGTCAACTTGAGCGACAAAAAGTTGACACAGCATGTTTGTAAAGATTTTCCAAGTTTCAGCTGATGAGGGCAATCAGAGTGTGCGTACTATCTCAGTTATTTTATAAAGTGTTATGCACCACAACATTCATTTTTACCCTTTACAGTGTTCACAAAAAGACAAAATGCACAGTTCATACTGACCTCCCAGGGATTATTGTATTGTCCAGCATCCAGTTTTCTTTTAATTGTAGAGAGATCCATAGGATGTCTCACTATTTCAAAGTAATCCTGAAAAATTCAAAGCATGTCTCTTCATATACCGTAAAATTCCGAAAATAAGCCCCTCCAAATATAAGCCCCCCAATCCGGTAATGGAAAAAACCCTCCGATAAATCGCCTCTCCAAATATAAGCCCCCCCTGGGCTTGTACTTGGAAAAGTGCCCTCAAATACAAAGTAAAACAAAGCAAAAGCCGCAAATTTACTGCCAACTATAAGGCTAGCCCAATCGATTTTGAAACGCAAATTTCCTTCTGTAGATAAGCCCCACCTAATATAAGTCCCTCCAAAAATAAGCCACTCAAAAAGGGCCTTTGAAAAATATAAGCCCCGGGGCTTACTTTCGGAATTTTACGGTATCTAACATTATAAAATTAATGGTACCATGCACAGCACTTTCAAAGAGGTTTCATAAGGTCCATGACACTGTAAGATGCTGTTTACAGATGTTTAATTAAGAAATATTTTACATGTTTTCATGACTGATTTTTGTGGAGGCATGTGTGGCCAGGTGGTTAACACCTTGAACTCTAAAATTTGGAGGTATGGGGCTCAAGCCTCACCCATCACGTTGTTTCCTTAGACAAGGAACTCTACTCCAAATTGTCTCTCTTCACCCAGGTGTATAAATGGGTAACCGCAACACAATGCTTGGGGGGTGACCCCACCGGGGGTGACCCCATCCGGGGGGGAGTAGCAATACTCCTAGGCATGATCCATTCTAAGGAAACCAGGATAAGCTACAGCCATTTGGGCCTTTGGCTCGTGTGCGCCTTTACCTTTTTATGACTGACTTTGGGATTGGGAAGGTTAACAAAAGCAAATCTGAGACAATATAAAACACAAAATTACACACACAAAAATAAACTTAAAAATAAGCTTACCAAACAACCAAGTAGCTTTGGATCAACAGGCTGCCTGAAGGGAAGGGATTCTGGTTCCTGTTTGTATAAGTTTTCCAAAGTGGGCACGAGTGCCTGCCGTAATTCCTCTGGCAGAAAAACTATGCCATAAAGTCAACATGCAAAAATTATTAGCAAGTTAAAAAAAAAACCCTGAGCTGCAGCTAACATATTATATCATTGTATTAACTCTTAATTTTTTTTAACGATTTGTGGAGGTATATTCCTGAAAATGGGCAAACATAGTGATTTTCGAGTTAATTTCTTCCAAGTAATAGATGCATGACGAATTTTACAGCTTAACAAAAAAACTGAAAAATATTTTTAAAGAGTTTATACGGTTTGGGGGGATGCTGTCACTAAATTACAGACGTTTGTACGGATCTTTAACCACGTTTCAAGAGTCATTGCTTGATCCCTGTTCAACTTTAGAGCACCAAACTTGGTAAAATAAACAATCTCAACATGACCTTTTATATGGTGGTGTCAGTTAACTGATTAGTTTAAATTTGAAACTCACCCCAGACCCCTGCCCAACTGCAAAATGGCCAATTATTACTGAGAAAGTTCACCACCGCAACAACTCGGTTAGGCAGAAGTATAATTCATGAGTGAAAATGTCTGCCTATTGCATGGAAATGCAGCAATCAAGCATTTTCTAGCTGCTATTTTTAGTTTAAGTACAAACAGGCTATGTAGAGGTTTGCATATTTCTCCCAAACTGCAACGTGCTCAGGCCTACCCCAGAACAGTAGGCCTGGACTTGATTCCTTGCCAGATCAGCAGTGAGGGTTTTAAAATAACTGAGAAGAGCATGCAGGGGTTTCAGTAAAAATTGAAGTAGCCAGCAGGTTTCAAAAGAATATCTGACTGTATCAACAAGGGGCCATTAGTCCCCTTTTTCTAGTGGGGTTTGGGCATGTGCTTCTCCAGAATATTTTGAAATTTCAAGGCCCTAAAATGCAATTTCCAGTGTTCTGGGCCGAGTTTTTCAAAGCTGGGTTAAGATAACCCAGGGTTAGCGTGAGATTTGAACTCAGATATGAAAGCTTGAAAGGCATTTCAGTTTTAGTTCTTTTTGTCTACAAGTTGATGATTGGAAGCTCTAAAAATAGCACAGAAATTATCTGAGAAAATGCTTTTGAACACAAGAAAAAGAAACCCCGGGTTAAGCGCTAATCGGCCTTTGAACAACTGGGCCCTGGGCAATAAATTGAGGACAACGGAGTGTGTTTTTCATTCAAAAAAATGTAGATTCATGAATTGTGGGATTGGGTGGGGAGAGAACCTTGCATGGGACTTGCGAGTTCTGTTTGTGCCCGACCCAATTGCTGTGAAAGCTGGGAAAGGAAAAACATTGTGTTGTGTGCTAACCTAGCAAGTACAAATACTGCGGGCAAAATCCACTATCAGGTTAACCATAATTTCCCCTGTGTCTTATGAAGGTGACCGATCGTTTCACCTACAAGTCGTTTCGCTAACATTCCATCTGCTAACGTCTTATGTCGTTCCACTAGGAAGTGAAACGAGCACTGTGCATGTATATGCTTCAGTCTCTCAGCCATGATACAAAAAAGTGGCATACGCATGTATATAACTTGTTTTTTTAGCCACTGATCAGGTGAAAGCAGTTAGGGAACTTACCCAACACACATGACTCGTAGGCGAAATGACCATAAACCCTTGCGAATAATTAGGACTATGACTCTCACTGACGCTGTTTCAAAGCAAGGCTAAGTGCCAAGCCACTGATATGAAAATGATTTTTATTGTCATACAAATAAAACTCATTTTTACAAGAGAGTTCTTCAATTAGTCTTGTTTTGAAAGTGACAGTATTTAGAACTTGGAAATGGCCTACTAAGTTGGATACTAGCTTAACCTGAGAAGGATATTACTTTTAACACAGACAACCTCCCCTTCTTGTCCAAACCAAACTCAGCTCTTACCTTTTTTGAGTGGATATCTCGTTGTACCTGGTGCAGGAATTGATGACGATGAAGAAGACAGGGAAGTGGAAGCAGCAGATGCTGCAGACTGTATTGAACAAGTTGGCGCTGCTGGAGATGGATGAGGTTCTTGTTTCATCTGGGGTGTATTGGTACCACTTTGAGCGGGAGATCTGGCTGGCACTGAACTGGGGCCACTGTCTTGAGACTAAAGTCAACAATGAAAGCAGCGTTTAGGCCCAGTTGTTCACACATCAGACTTTTCATGTAGCTAAATTAATACCTACTTAGGTCCACCAAAATGATACAAGTTCGACGGTTGATTCAGAGGACAAACTTCATTAGTTGCACTCAACTCATGTTCAAGATGTGCAATGGTCTACATTTCTTACCAGTGAAAATATATTATAGTAATTTATGCATACGGTTTGGCACATGAAAAGATTGATGTTTGAAATGAAGTCGTTCCACAATCGAAATTCCAATGTAGGCGACTCAAACTTAATTCATTGATAGAGCCAAATTAGATATGTCAGACTTAATTGATTCCAACACCAATCTTTTTGTTTGCTTAATTGAAGGGATTAGATTTGATACACAAAAAGTTCGTTTTGGGGCAACATTTTTAATAAACTGAACTAATAACACTGTTTTCATGATACAAATTATCTTTTCACAATTTTGCAACCAACCACCACCCTATCCAATCTAACTTAAGCAATCTTTAAGTGTCTATTTCAAAAAGAGCAATTCAAAAACATTTGGAGAGCAAGAATAATTTATAATTTCATTAGGAATAGTTAGTGCATACCTTGATTTGTCCTCCCTGTGGTTGGGAAGGAGGAGGAGGTGTGGCAGGTTCGGTTTTGATAATTGCCATTTGAGACTGTAAAGTAGGTTTACTTTCAGTAGCGGAAACATATCCACTTGAATTTGACAGATCCCCCTGTGATGCAGGTGAATGTTCCTGGGTATTTACATTCCCAAGGTTTTTGCCACTTTCTCGCGGTGGAGTTTTTCCTTGGGAATGAGGAGGTGTCATCATCTGCCCTGATGGGGACATCTGGTTGGGTACTTGTTGTTTCGTGGTTTGAGTTTGTGGGCCTGCAGGTGATGGAACTGCCATCTGCAGACGCGGTGACATATGACCCTGAAGAGGTGGTGAAGTCATTGAAGATACTTGGGCTGGGTTATTTTGAGACTGCATGGTTGTAGCTGGAGACACGTCGAACGAGGGTTGTCTGTGCTGTTGGGCAGCAGCAACTGCTGCCGCTTGTGCTTGAGCTGCTGCTGCTGCTGTGGGGATCTGAGAGTTGGCCACATCTCCATTAAACTGGGCAAATGACACTGCATGAAAAAGATGTCAAAAGAAAACGGTTAAAGGTTTGTTCATAGTGGAAAGTGCACTTGGGTATCCAGCTAGTTTACAGGCACTCCACCCAAATATTTCTGAAACAAATAGGACAAACAGAACATAACAGGATTAAAAACCCCAACTGGCAAGAGGCAACCAGTTGGCTGAGGACTTAGACTTGGAACGACAGAGAAAAAATCCACCAAGTGGCCAGAGCGGGACTCAAACCTGGGACCATCAGATTGCGAGTCCAATGCAGTGACCCCTCAGCCACGCTGCCTCTTTAGCAGCACAAATAACAACTGATAACAGGCACAAATAAGCAAAATATCATCCACCAATTTATTCACTGCTAACTGAAGCCTTTTTTCCACAGCCATTAAGCAGATGGCCAAAAAAGGAAAGCAGAAAGTCACTAGGTCCTGCTGACTGTTACTAAACCATTAGTACTTACGTCTTGTCTCACGCTGAATTTGATCAAGAACTATCACAATTTTTCTTATAAAGTGTTAGCTAAATGGTCACTTCAAGAACATAAAAATAAAGGACAAGTCCAGCTGGACTGTGTGATTGTTTACAAGAGCTTTTCAAGTCACAGTCTAAACAGTGCTTCACAATGCTGGCCCTAACTAGGGCCAGTCACTAACATGGGTGGTCACAAATTCTCCAAATGCATCAAGGCCAATGAATATTTGTTCGAGCATATTCAATTCAATTCTTTATTTTTACACTATACAAGGCATTTGCACATGTTATATACGAGTAAAAGGAAAAAAATCAGTAATAAGTAATCATTAGGCTAAGAAGATATAATGTAACATGTGTGCAGTGACCAAAAGAGCATCACATTCAGATAAATGGCAGCAGAAAAGAAGAGAAAAAAAAAATGCAACTTACATCAGAGATGCAGCATGCAAGATAGAAGTAAGATCAAGTTTGACTGATTAATTTTGAGAACTAAGACTAATTCACACAACTTAAACTTTCGTAAGTTTTCCAGTACTCCAGTGACAGCTTTCGACAACTAGACATGCATACTACAAGACATCTCAGACTTACTAATTGAATCAAAATATGATCCTTGAATCAAGGACTGCTATGGATTTTCAATTCTTTAACTTAAAAGTGCAATGTTGAAATGACAGAATGATGAACTCAATAATTAACTAATTTGTCTTATCAACTTCCAAAAAATTTGAAGTCATTGTATTTGTCCTGAGAATGCTCAATCCCCTTTCACTGTAAGCATTTCAGTTCAAATTATAACACAGTCATTTTACAATCTTTGATTATCATTAAAGTTATTTTTGACATTTCTCTTACCTTGCCCTCCCACAATGGGATTCACTCTCATCTGCTGATGCAGTCTTCTTTGACGTTTTTCCTCTAGTTCTTTTTGAATTTTATAGATTTTCTCAGCCAACAGATGATAATATTCCTCCTGTGTAATTTATAAGCAAAGTGTTTAGCTTCTTGTCTACATGTACCTCTAATGATCTACCTACAATAATTAACATGAACTGCTATGAATGAAACAATTTACCGGTACACCAATTTGCTCAAACTGCTTTGAACAAAACTAAATTTTTTGAAACTCTGCAACTCTAGCATAGTCTTTAACATAATTGCTTTGATTGCTGAAAACATCTAGCGGCCTGTGCAATAAAACTGTAGTACTTATGTGGACCCAGCTTTAACCCTTTAAGCCCCAATGTCCACATACAAATTCTCCAAACTGATCTCTATATATTTCCTTAAAGAATGAGTTGAGAGAATTTGACAAAAGATCAAAGCATTTTCTTTTAGGTGATCATTTTATTAATTCTCATAACCTATTCTCTAGACAATCTACGGATACCATTGGGAGAAAATTGATGTTGGTCACTATTGGGACTTACAGGGTTAAGACAGCATAGAAGTATATACCAGTGTTTGTTGCTATGACAATCATCGGCGAAATGTTTGCAAATGATCACTGAACTTTCTTTTCAGTGATCTAATGATCACAGCAATCAAAAGGGAACAAGCCTTTAGAAGCACTTCACTCACCATAACTATTAAGGTAATGAGCAAGTCTACAAGGTACGTAATTCAACTTACCCTACTATTTGCCGTCTCATACATATCCCCTTCTACCTTACGTGCATATGAAACAAGATTCCCCATGCGCCGATCTCTCAAGGCAGCTGGATCGTGCACCGGGGTTGGGAAGATTGCTGTCACACTACAACAACAAAAACAATTTTGGTATTATACTTTCTGATAATTAGCAGTTGTTGCAACAGTACACATATTGAGAGCAAATTTAAGAATAGGCATGCCTAGAGTTACGGCTTTTGGCTTCATCTCATCCAGAATTAAAATGATAATACCGGTGGGCTGTTACAAAAAGATGGGGGCTGTAGTCTGAGAAAACAGTGATTGATTATAATTGAGAATTGGCACATCAGATACGTCCAGGGTTTTTTTTTTCATAAAAAGAATACACTTACAGTTTATGAACAAGATGATTCCTGAGATCTGGTGTCACATGCTGATGCCATTCTTTTGGACCACGATTACCACTACCAGTTGAGCTGGAAAAAAGAAAATAACATCAGCTCTTCCCATTTCAGTGAAGAAAGAAAACATCTCCATCCTACTCTAACTACAGCTGTTGCCATGGGTAGATGTCTACAGTACATCCATTAACTCCATTGAATCTTGAAATAAAATGTTTCTTATTTACCTTGTGGCAGTTGCGGGTGTTTCACCGAATGATCTGTTATCTGCTAAAAAAGACAGACCAAAACAAAGCTATTTAATAGTAATCATAGCATGGCTCCTATGCTTTTAAAACTCTTGGTGGAGCTGGAAGTTGGATACAGATGCAATCAACATAAAAACAATACTCCACAAATAGGAGAAACAAATTTGCTCCAAAACAAATAGAAAGCTTGAACTGCAAATGAAAGAGCTAACCTGACAATCCTAGTGCAGAGTCTGATCTCATCATAGAATTAGTAGCTGAAATCAAAAGGAATATGTTCTTAGATCACTGCATTGCAAAATTAGCCATTTCACTACGACGAAGATGCAAAAATAGTAATTGAAGGTCTCACATGAAGCATACTTTTTAAGTGTTGATTCCCACAAAGGAAACGTGATGCTGTTTGGGAAACCAAACAATATTAAACATCATGTAACAAGGCAGTCAAATGTTGAATTTGACAATTTTGCGTCAGTGTCTTGCACTCGTTTTGCCGCAGCTTTAGAGCAGCACCAAGAAATTTAGAGTACATATGGGCAGTTTCTTAGGATTGCAACCACAAGTCAAAACATTTCCCATTTTCAGGCCTGCTTATTTTTTATCAAACGTAAGTTTTCATGTTTGTCACCACCTCAAAGGTACATGCAGCAATAAAAAAAACTCTCCCCTTAGTATTCTACCATTATGGTATAAATGGGAAGACATAATCAACTAAATGTTTCTTACCAAATTGTTGCAATCTTGGCTCTCCATTTCTCAAGGTTAGTCCAAGAGCTTCATAAGCCCTTTCCATTCCTTGAACATTTCCTGTAACTCCTGCTGTAAAAGAAAACCTTTACTTCAGAAATTTTCAAAAGAGCAATAACAGAGGCTTTGGTTTAAAACTAAGCACTAGACAAAACACACCAGTCACCAAAGACTAGGCAGTAAAAAGAACAAAAATTTGACAGTGCAATTTTTGACACAACAGTAAACAATCTGTAAACAATAAAATCTATTACTTTATATTTAAATAGAACAACAAACAAAAACAATGTGAAAATCAGAGAAAGTGCATTAAGACCACAATATATATGTACATTAATATGTACAATACAT